GGGGGGGGGAGGCGCTGCGTTTGCGGGCGGGGCTGTGGGGCGGCCGGCGGTGGGGGGAGCGGTTCTCCTTGCCCAGCGAGGCGTCCTTGGACGGGGACTTGGCCGGCCGCTTGTCCCGGTCGGCGTCCGAGCGGCCGGGCCGTTCCCGGATGGGCGACCGGGAGCGGCGCCCGGCCCGCTCCTGGATTGGTCGGTCCTCCCGCGGCGGGCTGGAGCGCTTGTCGGGGCGGGCGGCTTTGGGCTCGCCCCGGGCGTTGGGGGGGGAGCTGGACTTTCTTCTCTCCTTGGAGCGGGTGGCGCTGTCCGAGCGCTTCCTGTCTTTCGACCGGCTCCGGCCGCGGCCTCTGTCCTTAGCACCCGTCTCCTTGGTGCTTTTGGTCCCCTTGTCCTGCTTGGACTCCTTGGCGGGCTTTTCGGCGGACTTGCTCCGACTGCGGCGCTTGGAGCTGGTTTTACTGCCCTCCGTTGAGTCCCGTCTAGATTTGCCACTTTTCCCCCCTCGGGGGGATATGGGTTTTCCTGAGCTGCCCTTTGGACGCTGTTCTCCGTTTCTGAACCTCGCCTCTCCGTCCTCCTCTGACCCAGAGTTATACCCCTGAAGGATCAGACCCATGCCGGACTGGACCTTCCCCTCCATCAACTGGCTGTCCAGCTCAGCTTTGATCATGGCCCTCTGTTTCTCCAAATCCTCCAGCAAGGCCCTGTCGTCCAGACTGGGATTCCCGGAGGAGGGGGAGGATTCCGTCTTTTTGTTGCCGGGGGCGCTGAAGATGGCGGCCCCGGAGGGAGAGGCGCCCTCTTTGCGTTTGTGTTTCCTGTGTTTGTGACGGTGCTTGCGTTTGCGGTCCTTGTCCTCGTCGGACGCATGTTTGTGCTTTTTGTGCTTACTGCGGTGCTTGTGTTTTTTCCTCTTATGCTTCCCGCTGCTGCTGTGATGCTTGGGCCCCTGCTCCGTCTTCTCTCCATTAGCTTCTGCTGCCTCCTCCTAAAGTAAGAGGTTTTCAAAATGAGAAATGATTCAGAAGTCAGTGATCCATTTTTCAAAGGGATGCAAACAGTAAAGTCAGTTTTATGGGTTTTTTTTTAAGCAAACTAAATGAATGTCTCAGTTTAATTTATCCAAAACCCATCTGCCACCTCCCTCTTATTTAAAAAGTTATTAAATAGCATGAAGGCTAAATAACACAGAATATTTTTGTTGCTATTGATACAGATAAAAATAAAAACTCCCAAAATGCCACGATCATAGCACAGACACAGTGAACATCTGGCATTGCAACTCCAGTCAGAAAACATGAATAAATAAATCAACACTTTTGATCTAGATTATGACATCATACCACTGAAGATATTTAGGTCTGGTTCTTGTCCACCCCTACCTCTCCCTCCTCCTCCCCCTCCTCCTCAGACAAGTCCCCACTGTCCTCGTTTCCACTTCCACGTTCATGGCTTTCCAGATCCTGCTTCCTGTGGAACAAAGGCAAAATGTAAAGTAATTTAGTCTAAATTAACATAATATAAAAAAACTACATCAAACAGGTCCATCACGTCTGTAAATGGCCAGTGAATCAGTTAGCCAAATTTCACTAGCCACACTCAAACGCGTCATTTTACTGTCCTCTTATTTTACCTTCAAACCAGACAAGAAAGATTCTTGTATACATGAGCTTAGCTTTTAGCTTTTTTACAGATAACATATAAACAAATATAAAAACTGACCGCAAGTAATTAAGACTTCAACTACTAAATAGCATCCCAAACTCAGAACTTAAGACTTTATATAATGTTATAACATGGCCTGCCTATTATATACGGAAACAATAGCTGTTTAGATAACATGTTTTTTCAGCATCTCATCACAAGGTGCACAAACATCAATCCAAAAGATCATATCATTTGAGTAAAATCATATTCATTTTTTAAAATTCATCAATATATTTATTTAAAGTCGTCCAAACAACACAAAACATAAAAAGTTGATGGAATACTGTGCAAATGCACTAAGGTGGGTTTTTTAAACAGAAAATATTACTGATAGCAGACTGGATGATGTCAGATTCTATTAATCCTGATAATGAATAATGAGTAGGTCAGAATTCGGTAAAGTATATATATATATGTATGCTCTTTTGTGCATCACAAGATGAAGCTGTCTGGTTGTCCCCACATTTCTGAGCTCCATCCAAACTGCTTAACATTAAATCAGACAAACTCTTTCCGGTGTTATTTCCAGAATTGACAGGTAGATTCCACAGACCCTCTCACCATCTCTACCGACACCGCGTCGTGAAGGATTCAAAATGCCACTTGACTGGACCTCACTGCGTTTCTAACGCGTTCAAATTTGGGCTGAAAGCCTTGACCGAACAGTGGACAGCATCTCAAGTCACCGTGAGAACAGCTGTAAACGTTAGGTAAACCAAGGTTACGTAATGTGCTCGATTTAGCCTGAAATTCAGGGATAGGCAAGGATTTGACGAGCAGAAAGAACTTACAGGGAGATAAATCCCTAAAGTTGGACTGCTTTGACACTTGCTTGTGTCATTTAAAACTTAACTTGTTAGCTCTTCTCCTACCCCAGACCGCCAAGAGGATTGTAGCTATTAGCTTCGACTTGCTAAACGTATTTAGCAAACTTAAAACTAGAAGGCTAACTTACACTTCAAAATGACTTAACGATAAAGCTCAGTTCTCTCACCATAATGTGCGTTGACATGCTTCATTAATCGAAGCAGCAGGTGAACTTATGAAAATACAGTTGCATATGTTCTGCGGTTGACGAAACTTAGAGCTAGCTGAGCTAAAAGAACATTAGCCAAATGGCTAAACCCCGCTTGCCAGTCGTAAGCATGTAATTTAGCTAGCCCGTGCAACAACGTGAACCCGCTGACTGTTAGCCTGCCTCCTAACAGCTTTCGTTTGATATCGGACACGAAAGGCACTTTCATTTTACTATTATCAAGTTAATTTATCTTTGGTAAAGTGACTTACACGTGTTCGTTGCCATTATTCATTCCCCTGGACGTGATGTCCATCTCAACGTCAGCCATTTTCCTTAGCTGAGGAACCCGTTCTTCTTCGTTTATTTGGAGGTGATGTGATACGACATCCCTGGTGTGCCCTCTAGTGTCTTGGCGGCGCACTGCAGATTGGATTTGTACGTTGAGGTTTGAAATTCGCCCACTAGGGTGTATGATAGTCAAACTTTTTTAAAAATGAAGTTCCCCAAACACATTTACATTGGCTGACACATCCTATATTCAATTGTGCATTTTTGGTACAGTGGTATCATTTTCTTCTTATTTCCAGTTCTTAGAGGCTACGCTTCCTCGGTGAATTTGGAGGTAATTTGCTAACTATGTTACTGACCCTGGTTGCAACAGAGGATGAAAAATAACTGCTGGTAGGTGTTGTTTTGACACAGTTTTATTGATTGTGAATCTTGATGTCTCTTCAGTGTGGGTGACATTCCTGCAGGCGAGGCCACATCACAGAGCAGTTCCAAACTCCAGGGAGTTCAAAACCTTGCCAAAACATTTTTCACGTAGCCTCCATTGTTCACGTGAAAAGGAATTGAGGAAACACTTAACCGAACATGTTTTGTTACATTCTCTGAAGGCCTTCTGGAAGCAGGACATGAGTTATTTCAACTTTATGAGTGCTGGGCAGCTGCTTCTGGGAGCGCATGGCAGCCATCTGCTTGACAGGGTTTCAGGGCTCAGATTGTTCATGATGCTTTACAATCGACACATTCTGAATGCTCCTACTTAATAAAAATAAAGCCAGGGTCCCAAATAAAGTGATTAATGCTTTGGTCAGATAAGCTATCCTGGTAAGATATTTCAGAGAGTTTTTTTGCTGCTTCTTTTTCCCCTTTTTAAAAATATATATAATTGACATGTTATTTTAGTTGGCCATACATTTCTTACATGCAGTGCTGATGAGGTTAATCTCTGTGCAGCCACAGCAGAAGTCTTTGGTCAAATCTTGTGAGGGACAGCCAAAGAAGACTCGGTTTAAAAGTACCACCGGATGACCAGGAGGTTAATAAGTGGATCATGTGGTTGAAGAAAGCCCCTCATGCACCCCATGGTTCTGCTTCCTCGCATGCACCACTGGTATGCACAACAGAAGTGTTACATAAAGGCTCGGTTAAGATTCTTTCTCCTCCAACTCAGCTTTGTTTCAGCACAGAGTTTGTGATGCAGACTTAAAGTGCACCCAATGATTTGTAAAAGTAAGGATAATGTAATAAACTTTAAGGATAAAGTTTACGATGGTGTATGAGATAACCAAAACCCCTTTTCGAATGACATGTAAGCAGCCCATCACCATCAGTTGTGTGGGAACTTCTTAAAAGGAAAAAACACAACACGTGACAGCTAAGGCTATTGCCCTGTAGCAAATGAAAAAGCTCTGGCCCCATCGTGTTGCGATGCAGAAAGTATCGGACGATGCTCCCAACGTGGATCTGTGAAATCACCAGACTTTCAAGGATGGTAAAGCAACCACGGGCGGCCATTATCCACTCCTGACAGTTTTATTTCACGCAGTAAATTGTGCTATTGTGAGGCACCTGTGTCGGCTTATTCACAGGGCTGAGAAAGTAACGGAGGCGTGACGATACGGCAACATTAATGCTGACAGGCTCGCAGATGGGATGAGAGTTTCTGGCAGGTGATGGATCTGCAGATGTTGCCTTTATCAACGTATGTTTGGATGATATCTTGCTTTGCGCATTCGTACGTCAGGACAAAAAGCATTTCTTCTGGCAGTCTGTTGCAGATTGTGATTTGAAAGCGAATGAGGAGGAGGACTGCATAAATATGCAAAGGGACTTGAGTTTTTCTCTGGAGTCCCTCTGATAGAAATATGTACTTAATGCGTACTGTGCAGACAGTACAGAGTTGTAACTCATGGGCTTTGCCTTCTGCTGTAAAAGCTGCCTCAGATTTATACGGTAAAGTTGTGAGGTGGGATAACAGATTAAAGTTCTGGTCACAGCGACATTATATATTCTGAGCTGGGACCTCTGCCCCCCCCCGTGCCACGTAAATCCTGGCAGTATGCGGTATAATATAAATTCTGTGCACTGCGTTCTGCTGTTTTTCTGTCATACACCCTGTTATTTATCCTGTTTCCAGACAGTTTGAATATACAATTCCCACTCCTCCTTCTTTTGGAAATACTTTCCCTTTTTTTTTCATCGTTGCTCAAGAAGTATATAAAGTCATCTTGAAATCCTGTTTTTGCTCATCACCAATTAGCTTTGCAAAAATGCTTTTGGACAGAGGAATGAAGCTCGGAGCCTGGGAGAGACATCAGGGATTCAAACCTCCACACCCCTCCTGGGCCGGTGACGTCACCCTTATTTGTAAATGACTCTTTCGGATGCATCGGGTTCGCCATTTAATCTTTGCCAGTAAGATGTTTGCCAATACTCTGTCAATAGTATGGAAACTGGACACCCCGGGTCCAGAACTCCCACCCATTGCTTGTACTACTGAGCTGGAACTGACTAGTATTCGGGGCAAAGGGATTTTCTACCAAACAGCCTCACGCAGCATTTCAAATGAAAACATTCGTGGGTTACGTAAAGCCCGAGAGCACGGTAAGAATGCTCAGATGCGCGCAGATTTCTCGATCCACCCGTTTAGATTTACGGCCTCTGCTGGAATGTGGATTTCCATAACGAGGGAATAAAGGCGGCAGACGTTAGGTCTGCTTCGGCTCATCGGGCCCCCGCTCTCCAAGCTTCGGTGGAGACACAATAAGGACGGGGCCATAAAACGTGGGGTCCAACAGATGCTCAGAGTAGACAGCCACAGTCCATTAAGGAGCCTGTTAAAGACACTCAGGCAGTCTGCAGAGTCACCCCGGCCCCTGCCCCTGCCCTAGCCCACAGTTACGGCCTAGAATGGCCTCCTCTTAGCAAAGCTGTGCCACTGCTTCCCAACAAAAAGGGAACGCCTGCCTCCATAAACGCAGATGTTCTTTGTTCCCCGACAGATGTGTCCGTCTTTGTTTTGGTTTCTCTTTCTGAAGAAGTATTCTCCCTAATCCTGTGCTGTTTGGTTTTCAGAGAGAATAAAGAACAGAGTTTAGGAGTTTGATTTAGCTCTAAGGAACGGGATGAGATCATAACTAATTTGTTTATTCTTTAAAATCACGAGGCAGGATTGTTCCTCTCAAAAGCATAAGTAAATGAAAGTTTGACATTGTGTGTAAGTAATAGCTTGGGATTTAAATTGTAGCATTCAAAGCTCTACCGTAAGCTCAAAAGCCATGCACTGAGATAGATAAAATCCAGAAGCCCTTTATCACAGAAGTTACACCAACTCATCGCAATGTTTCATTGTTATCACTGATAAAAAATAAAAAAAGGCACATGGTCAAGCAAAAAAATTCTGCTTTTTGTAAGCTCAGATTCCAAAATAAGCATCGTGAATTACATTTACTGCTCATAAAGTCGTACATCAGACCTTGACCATAAACTTTTCTCAGACCCCGACACGTCCAGTTTCAGCGGACGCCCCTCAGATGGGCGGGCTGCACTTTCTGGTGGAAGAGGTGTGAGCTGAGCAGGAGTTCTGCATCAAAGATTTTGTCTTGAGTCAGCAGAGTGGGAACGACACTATTTTAGAGGACAATGTCATTGCCTGATAAGTTAAAGATCTCTCAGAGCAGGCCGGTCTCTCAATAGGCACCCAACAACTAATTGGTAACCCCAAATTGAACCATGAAGGCATCTTTTTGCTATCAGTTAGCCCCTCGGTATGTCTTCTCTGAATGCATAACAATGATGTATCATGGGTAGCCCATATACCTTTATTATCTACTTAGGCAGAAATACCAGGAGACCCCCCCCTCGTCTCCAAACTTGGTCTTGAGATAGAATCAAAACATCCTGCCTCAGAGACGTAACAAGAATTTTATCGACTCTGACGGAGAGGAGCATGAAAGAAGACAACCGGTGTCACGTCTGAGGGAGATCGCTGCAGCATCCCGTCACTCTGACATTGCCAGGCGGCCCGAAGCCAGCGAGGCTTTGCATCTAGATGAGATCGCCGTCCCCTGGGAAAACAGGTCGGAGGTATTCAAACTCCCAGCTCGGCTGCAGAATCCTGGAACTCAGCATTGTGTTAAAGCTAAGCAGAGTGCAGCAGAAGTCAAACGTTTTCCACAACTCCTCTTCACAGAGGAAGAATGGGGTTAAAGGAGGGAAGGACCAGTGAAGGGGCCCCGGCTAATGGAACAAATAAGCCTCAAAAAAGGGTTTTTTGAGGTCTCTGGGAAGAATATGGACTGGAAAGATGCACCTCAGACTCAAACTAAAGTTGTTTCTCATGCTGGAATAAGCTCTCCCTCACAGAACGGGGCTCTCCAACAGAGTTTGGTCATTTTTCCTGTGGTAATGAAACAAAAAAAGCACACGAGAAGTCGTATTTTTCCACAAAAAGTATCCTTTGTGAGGAATTCTGTTGGAATGAGTTGCTGTGGCAGAATGTGCTGACTCTGTCGATGTGGCTTAAACCACAGATTGAAGGCCTGTTAGAAACAGACATATCCTATTATTACACACGGGGAGAAAGGATTTACAGATAATACTGAGGCAGCTTGTTCGTGTAATGTGATCGCACTAATCATTTATACTTCAAATTATATGTTAGGTACACATCATCAATATCAGGGAATTTTGAGTGAACTCTTTCCACTAATGCATTCAAATCTTTAACTGTTTCTAGGCTTTCAGTTTACTTCAAAGCCAGGGTATTGATCTGTCCGACGCTTCTCCAAAAGAAAAGAAAGCCGCAAACTAATTACAAAACACCAATAATTGAAATAGATTTCGTCAGACTTTGAGATTTGGATAATGAGGTCAGAATCGGTCAATAACTGCCAACGCCAGCAAAGTCATAATGACAGCAGAGGTCCGTCTGAGCTAACTGGAGTTTAGCTGTGTGTCAGGATACTTTCGAAACACAGTTATAAAACTTCACTCACGCCTCAGCCACACAGCAATCTGGCGCCCGGTGCCAGACTCTGCTACGTGGTCATTAGAGGACATCGGTCATTTCTCCTGCCGTGCTATAATTTGCGCTGTGGCACAGGTTAGTGGTCGGTGGATATGTAAAGGAGTCCCGTTCTCCGTATGACCTCGTTCTCCCTGCGGACACCCACAGAGGCGAGCTAACCGATCATTTTGAACTCCCCATGCCACGCTCCTGCATTAGTCACGTTTCCTTTCCTGTTTGCAAAGCACAAAAGAGATCCGAGCACCTCCAAATACTCTCATCGTGAAAGTAGCTGCTCAGTTTTTACAATGTTTTATCGTTTTTACAATAGGTGGTGGTGTGGTGGTTAGCACCATCGCCTCACAGCCAGAGGGTTCTGGGTTCGAGTCCCCGGGGTAAGCAGGACCTTTTTAGGTGGAGTTTGCATGTTCTTCTGTGTCTGCCAGGGTTCTCTCCAGGTTCTCCGGCTTCCTCCCACAGTCCAAACACCTGCATGTTTGGTTGATTGGACATTCCAAATTGCCCTTAGAAGTGATTGTGAGTGTGTGTGGTTGTTGGTCCTTGTTTGTCTCTGTGTGGCGGACTGTCCAGGGTGTACCCCGCCTCTCGCCAATTGACCACTGGGATAGGCTCCAGTTCTCCCCGCGACCCCATTAGGGAATAAGTGGTTACAATAATGGATGGACAATAGGTGTGAATTCTCCAAGTGCTGTGTACCACTTTGATTAAGTGTGTTTACAAAAAAAACGTCAGGCAAAACCGAATATCACACGGATAGAACAGTTCTTGGGAAATGTAGTCAGTGGGAGTATTTCCTTATGTTTAATGTGCTTCTTTTCTGCAAAGGCAGCAAACAGGAAGTCCCCATGAATTATGGAACATTTGGGCATCACGTGCCAGATCTTGACCTTAACCATGGCTAAATGAATCTGTTTTAACCCCTGTTTAAATGTTCTTTGTTCAGAGCTTTGTTTGCTGTAACAGTCAGTGACCAAAAGTGAGGAAAGTGGCGTCCTCCAACGTCTTCTCCAGCCGTCTGCTCCGTCACCTGAAATGTAACGTTCCTGTCAGATTTTAGGGTCTTTCCCCTTCAATTATCAGGTTTCTGATCAGTGTTTTGGAGCGCGTGTGTGCTCCAGCAGCACAGAGTGTTTGACCCGCCCGCTTTCACTCGCAGCTAATATGATATTTCCTTTGCTGAGAATGGCTTTTACCAGAGCTATTTGCAGACGGTTCTTTCCCACTCCACAGTCATCAATTAAAGCTGAATCGTCATTTCTTGCCATGACCACAGCTTCCGGTAATGCTCTTTTATTGGTGTCCGCCTCTCTCCTCTGTGAAGCATTACTCAGTGGACATTACACAGGGCAAATATTTTGCGAAAAGACAAAGTTTTGTGAAGTGATAAGTAGAAAAAAAAAGTATATATATATATATATATAGCTTTGTGTTTTTTTCTTACCAGGATAAAAAGGAGGTGGTGGTATTCTTGTTCATGACTCATAATAATTATTCCTGAAGAACGCAGGACCACGAAATCTGAGTGAAATTATACTTATCACATCCTAAAATGGTGATTTCTGTCAGATCTACAGCAGTAAAATCACACGTGTCTTTCACAGATGTCTAAAAGTATTTTTTTCTACAGAAGATCGAATGTAAAATTGCATAAAAAAAAACAAAAAAACAAACAGGAGATGGACAGCGCCGTGTTTGCAGGCATGTGCATTCCTTGCTTAATTACGCCCTGTTGTCAAGGAGAGAGGAAGGAAGGAGGAAGACGAGGGAGGAAACTGCTCTGAAAGAAAAACTACCGCTGAGCCAGACGGTGCGAAGTTAAGACTCAGTGGACTTTGGATAATCACAAACAGGACACGGAGGGAGGGCAGCAGCTTTAGGTTTCTGAGGCGAAGTATCTTTGAAACGATTTTTTAAAATCTCAGTCTTAACTTCTCTGACTTTTTTTCGGACGTCTTCCCATTGGATGACGTCAGATAAACAGCTGATGGATCCATCCTGCAGACTCAGTTTTTCTTGGGCGTTATCTTAGTCTCTAAAGTCTTTTTTTCCTTTTTTTTTTTTAGTCATGCCACGTCTGAGATCTCAGCCTGTGATGGGCTGAGCGAGAAGCCATCATCCTCCTCCTCCTCTTCCTCCTCCTCCTCCTCCTCTTCCTCACACTCAGCTGTGGGGCTGACCGAAACAAAGTTACCCAAGTTGCCTCTCTCTCGTTTTGCTCATTTGGACATTTGCACATTTCTGCGGCCTTGACTCCGTCGACCACCGCACATACGCACACGCACGCGCACAGTCCGCTGCCCCTCCGGTCAGCTGCAGCATGCGGGGCTGACCGGACGTCTGAGGAGGGGTGGGGGGTGGAGATGGCATCGGCCGTGTTCGCCGGGACGTCGCTGGTCAACATGTTCGTCCGGGACTGCTGGGTCAACGGGGTCCGGAGGCTCATCATCAGCCAGCGCGGGGAGGAAGAGGAGTTCTTCGAGATCCGGACCGAGTGGTCCGACAGGAACGTTTTATACTTGCACCGGAGTTATTCCGACCTGGGCCGGCTCTTTAAAAGACTGCTGGAGTCCTTTCCCGAGGATAGGAGAGACCTCTCCAAATCTCCAGCGATACAAGGTTGGTCAGATGGGATATAAACGAACCCTTACTGAGGGAAATGATGACAGCCCCAGTTAGGCCTATAATTAACCCCCCTGATGACACAGGCTGATGTTTGGTACATTTTTATTATGGTTTATTACAGTTTTATTACAGTTTATTAAGGGGCTGTCTTCATGGGAGGGCTTCTTGGGGACCCTTTTACTTTTATTTGTTCATGTGCTGGCCTGCAAGAGTCTTTTGTTGTTAAAATGCCTAAAAACATGCAAGAATATCAACCCAAAAATGTCCATTTTGCAGTGACATGATGCAAAAGCATTAATTATAAATACAAGTATTGAGTTTTCCACTTTGCTCATTTAATCATAACAGTTTCAACTCATTATAGTTATAGTTTTGTGTCCTAACTTGGAAAATATGCCCAGTTGCTTGCATCTGCTTGTCCAACATGAAAAGTCCTGTTCCCCGGCCTCACATAGTGCAGCTGCTATTTTGTGCTTTTGGGCATAAAAAAAAAAGGATTACAGTCAGACTCTGTAACAAGAGCAGCTGTGTGAGGAATGGATTTTGCAGCACTTCATACTCTTCTCAGATTTAGTCCATCAAATTTTCGTTGAGTCTACATAGAGGGCCGTTCCAAACGTTATCAATAAAGGTCTGGGGCAACTCTGAACCGGGGTCGTTCGGAGGGGGTTAATAATTAAGAGCCACCTCAGGAGGGTCAGGCAGGCAGACCTATCACATAGCCGCTACTCCTTGTCAATATTCAGGAGCTCAAAATGGGATCAGGTTTATCAGGAATGAGATTGCTAGAAGAACAATACAGAACAGACGTTTTTAAGGATTTTTGTGATAGTTTGTTCTTCTGGGTTAGTTCTTCTTTAAAAACAACCAAAAAACCCCCCAAAAAACTGAACTGAGACTAAAGAACTGCTGCCTGTAATCTTGTTGGTCAAAGGTTATACAGTTATGTCATAGGCACACATGCAGATTTTGGGATAACTCATCAGGAAGATCTCTAAATGATCTTAGATCTGAAGCTTTTTTAAAGTTTCCTATAAAGGTTAGTTTCATGCTCATTTGCCTGATAGAGTATTACAAGACCAAAGCTTAACATTTTTTTCTGGGTTGAGTATTTTCCCCCATTATGTGATTTCTATAAGAGACTTTGAATGTCTCTTGAATGTTTATGTCCAGCAAACAGAAACTCCATGCAAATATAAATGCTTTACACAGAAATCTGGATTTACAAATAGAAATCTACTGTTATCCATTTACGCTTTCTAAAGATAAATTCAAATTTTATTTAAGTTCTTTTATATTAAATCAAGTAGTTGTTGTGTTATATGACTGAAGCTTATCATGTCAACCAATGGGAATATGTCACATAAAAAAACTTGCTGTAAGATGTTTAAATTTGAACTTTATGCCCCCCCCCCACCCCTAGTTTCCTTGGCACTTCCCCTTTGTGTCTACCCGCTGTGCACAAACAACTGTTTTGGAAACGTCTCTTTTAGTGGCAACTGGAAAGCTTCGCTTCCTGCCCGGGCTCAGAAGTAGCTGACAGAGTTGTTGACCTTTCAGATCTGATGAGTAATTTTTAATTCCTTTATGCTGTGTGCCACACATCATACGCAGAGCAGAGCTTCTAAGTTAATGTTTCTCCTCCCACTCAGGCTGATTTTAGCATTTTAACGGTGGATCTTGAAACACACCTTTTCAAGAAGAATCCCATTTGTCTGCCGTTTGTCTCGCATGCAGAGATTGAGAATAAAAGAACACAGCGTTGGTTTATCTTAGTCTACTTTGGTCCACTTTCAGACTCCAGACATGTTTTCCTGCTTCTGTGCTGCACCTAGGCAACAAAGAAGGCGTGCAGAGCGTTTCAGACTGATGTCATCATGTGAAATAGAGTCAGAGGGTGACTGGGAGAGGAATGGACTTTCCATATTTAGTCGCGCTGGTCTGCGAAGGCCTCATCACACTTACCTTACATGTGACCTGAGTCCGAGCACAGACGGGATGCGATTGCTCACATTCCACGCGAACCAGATATCATCAAGGAATGTGGGAGCAGATGAAGTCAGCCCTCTTACAGGACTTCATTACTTCATACAGACAAACAGCTGAATGGACCAAATACGTCGAGGCTCCTCACTTACATAAATCCTCGAACATTTTCAGTCTATTGAGTTGATTCCATTGATATTTTTTTTTACTTTGGGCTTAGTCGAGCGCATAGATTGGCAAGAGAATGAATTGAGTCTCAGCTGACCAGTTAAATTGTAAACGCTTTGGAGTCTAATGCCTAGCTGAATCTGGTTGATTGGTGTTCATTCATCCAAGTAACCAGACCATTTAACATGGAATTGCTCATGTTCATGTTTCATTTTTTGACATCTTTCATAGTTACTTGACAGAAGTGTTTCTATAACCTTATGAACCTTTCTCTACAAATGGCTTGCTTTGTAGCTTTGAGAAAGGAGCTATAGTTGTAAGACCAAATATTCTTACATTCATAGTATATTTATGGGTTCATAACTTTTTTCAGGGCCTTCCTGATAAGGTGTTTAAAATTCAGAAGTCTCACTTTTACACTAAAGATACCCGTTGCCCCTATGGATGATGATAATTTGTGATATTTTCTCACTGACGTTCACCATTTTGTGTTGAAAAATAGAAATAAAGCGTGAACCAACCTGCAGTGAGTTCGCAGTTGAATAGTCACGCATCATGCTGCAGACGTTCGCTTATCAGATTCTTCCAGGACACGGCTATGAAATGTGTCTCTTACAACATCTGATGAGTGTTTTAGATAGTGTGCTTCAGGACGACGTGGCCTCTGTTTTTTCAGCTGATACGGTAGATTCAGGATCTCACCACAGTTGCAAAATGTTATATTGGGTTTGTGTAACTACTAGAGTCACTGTTGCATGCTTCTTTCTTGTAACTGTCAAGATAAATAAAGTCTGAAATGCTCGGAAAACCTCTGATATTTGATGACAGACAACTGAAAACACTCCCTGGACAGTAGTCACTGAGGTAAAAAATGTTCTCTGGGCTACTAATCTTGATCAGTGTTGCATAATAAGTTGGAATACAAGACCGGGAAGCCAGAAATACTTGCAGGAAATAGGCATTTCAACAGGAAACTGGTGGAAATACTTTATGGGATTGGTGGAACAAAATGACTGAATTCCTCATTTACGGAGCACAACCATGTTATGCAGTCTTCAGAAACAGAAGATAAGACAGAAACATGGCTGTTTTCTTTTTGTGTGCATTTTTCTGTTGCCTCTTGCTTCATCTCTCGGCAGTTCCGTATTTAGATGATTTGCCAAGTCGGGGAGTTAGTGGGAATCAAGCGGAATCCTTTAACTTCTCCTTCAGTCATGTGATCTTTAATCATCAGAGCTCCAAAGTCTCATCTGAAGTGTTTTTATCAAGTAGTTTGGGTGATTTCTTTTGTTAATACTTCAGGTAAGATTGCCTGTCCTTAGCATTTGATTAAAATGTGCGTGTGCCGTATGCAAACGTCTGCGGATGTCGCTGCCTGACACGTCTGATGAGCTGATTCATCCTCGACGTGAAGAGGAACACACTGTCACGAACGCCACATTTAAGGTGGTCAACGATACAATCTTATGCAACCAGCAGCACACACACACATAAAAAAACACCTGTTAGATTTAATCTTTGTGGAGTACATTGTTTGATGATTTATACCGTCAAAATCCGGCCATCTTTTCCATTCAGGGGCTGTTTTTCTATTTCAAATCCGAAAAGAACAACATCATTAATAGATGAAATACAAAATTTGGATTATTCTGAATGATGTAAGAGTCATGTGCAGATCAGTGTTTGAAGAATTTGTACATCCTGTTTTTTTTAAATCAGCATTGTTTGCTTAAATAACTTAGTTTCTCTAAACTAAGTCATTAATGTTTTTTGTCTTCCGGCGGACATGCTCACACTGGATGTGCTGCGTGCCTGCATCCGAGAAACAACGTGCACTTGTTTTGATTTGATATAGCTTCAGAGATCTGCTTTGCAGGACATAAACGTTGCTAATCTGTCTCAAAGGAAAACAACTGACGAGGCTGGGTGGGGTTTAAACTCTCTCCAGTTAAATGTCATCCAGGCTTTCTGTCAGTTAAAGGCCATAACTGCTGTTAACTGAGACTTGCTCGCACTCTTTTCTTTTTCTTAAGAATTCAATCAGTTATCAAATCCATTTAATACAAACCTGTACAAATAATCTAAAATGACTTCAGTGTAGTTGATAAAAAAAAAGAATAAAATAGCACCTTTTTTGTCTGGAGAATCTTAGAAAAAGCTTTAAAGTGGTACTGAAAGTTTAACAAAAGCAGATGAAAACGTTTTTAGCTTAAGACTAAGTGGGAGTATCAGAATAGATAATGATGACCTCAGGGGTATGATTTAATCACTGTAAACCGTTATGAATGGATGTGTGTTTACGGACTCTTATTGGGGACTTCCATGTGTAACAGTGAGTACGTTTTTATCTCTGCCTCGTAGGAGACAGAGACCCATCAGTCTTCATCGTTATTCTTCTGACCACATCCATTTTTGTCATATTGGCAGTAAATGATGCCTCACTAACTGCTTTCTCTCAGGGCTCGCGGCCTTACATTGCTAAACATGCTCATTGTATGCTTCCACCACCTCTGAAATTGCACTCCTTGTTTCGTGCAGGATTGATATTATCACAGACAGCCTCTGTTATTACTTCCCACTGTTATTACTCACCGTTCGACAAATGCTGACAGTTACACGGCAATTTTACCGCAGCGCGCACTGCGCTCCTGCTCCGGAGACAATGAAGTGAGGTGTGTTTCTTTCCTCCTACGATGTGAGGTTTGCATCATGCAGCATTGTTCATCGAAAGGGTACGAAAGGGTACTCCAGCTCCTCCTCTAGCATCCGGAGTGACCTTTCTCCAGAAATTTCAAACCTGTCTGGCTTTTGTGTTTTGGCTTTATGGATACTCTAATGGCAGTAAAAGGTCATGGCAGCAGCCTTTAGTTCTCGTCAAGACACATAAATATTTACTCCTGGCATTTTGATTGTGAGATAGCTTTATCGTACAGTGAAACCTGTTGAATTGATTAAATTGTTTTTGTTTTTTAAACTTATCGCAACAGTGAGAGGTGGATGAAACATAGAGCCATTGCATTATGACGCTGTAATAAAGTTAACTAAAGCAAATAAACTATTAACCCTAGAACACTAAAGAACACACAGTTGTTGTCGTTTGATTTTCATTGTGTTGCTGCTGTCTGAGTTACATGGGTCCTTGCGTAGCTTCAGGGTGCTCACTAATGTCATTGATAGTATATTTGTTTCTCTCCTCCCATCTAAGTTTTTTTTCAAGAGGCTAACTGCATTCTATGTGGGATAATATATCGGGTAAAATATACCCGACCTTATTGATGGTGTTACTAAATTGAACGTTAGTGTTCTAGGGTTAAAGCTGCATGCCAGACTACCCTTGTGCAACGATGTAACTATAATCATGTTTAAGAGGATATAAAGGTCACCAACTGTGCATTTAATTTGTTGACATGAGCCACTTTTTTTTTAACAAGCATGCTAAAATGTAGTCTTCGACCAGGAAAAAGTTTAAGGCCAACAGGGGTGAGATAGCGTTATACCAGTAACTGTATTGAAACTGTTCTACATCTGGGATTATAAATGTACCTCTGAATGCCTTCATAAATTCCGATCCTATAAAATGACGATGGCTCATTGGAAAATGGATCCCAAAGGCACCAAAATGCCAGCCTCAAATTTCATGATTCTCCCAAGAACTGTCACAAATTACTCTTGATCATAAATGCCATTCTTCTGGTGACTCAGCAACAAAGTTCAGACAAATGTTCAATTGCCTTTTTTCAATCTGTTACACAACTGTATAACCCATAATTTGTTCATGAAGAGTCTGGACAGTTGTTGTACAACAGATGTGCAGCTACATTACACGTAGGCTAAATAAAAGCTGCAGTTAGTTTTCCAATGATTAAATTATGTCTGTTTATTGATTTCGTTGCAGGGCTGGTAAAGATCAGAAATTTGCATGATATCGAGGAGAAGTTGAATGAGGTTGAGAGACTATTGAAGAATGCCATCAACATGCCGTGCAAAGTAAGCAGTATGCCATTGCTAACATGTTTTTGTGATTTCTTTATCAACAACCGAATTTATTTTTCATATTTTGCATTCATGTTTTCAAAAGAGTGAGTGAGGGTCTTGCTCTTAATTTACTTTTTCTCCGTAGTATTCCAGGTCAGAGGTCATGTTGACTTTCTTTGAGCGCTCACCACTGGACCAGGTGTTGAGGAATGACAAAGTCCACAGAATCCAGCCGTGCTTTCAGAGTCCAATCAAGATATCAGGTACTTGTTCTTGTGTAACTGAAAGATGGATGTGCTGCCGTTGTCACTAGGTCACAATGACTTAACAAAGTCACACTACATTTCTGTTTTGTCATATCTGTTTTTAGAAATCATGCGGTCAAATGGATTCTGTCTGGCCAATACAGAAACCATAGTATTTGATGACAATATCCTTGATGAAAAAGAAAGACCTTCCTCCACAGACTCTGTAGATCAAGTGTGAGTATAAGCATAAAATGACTTCATTTATATGAATTTATAAGGATACCTTTCTTTTTTTGAGTTATTCAGTCTAGAATAACCCCTTACACAGCACAGGAAGTGTGTCTGTACACGTCTTCCTTCCCTGGGTGTGTGTAGGAAGCAAAAGGGGAACACATTCTTCTTGGTACTTCAAACAAAACAACTTTTGACTTCACTTTTAATATTTTGGTTCATATTTTGCTTTTCCCACTTGGCTGATGAAGACTTAACGTTCACGTTATGGGAAGACCGCACAGGTCCATGTCGGATTGTTTCCCAGACTCATATGTGTTTCATCTTTTTTCCAGATATGAAGATGGAACAGAGTTTTTACCAATGGAGGCGGATGTGTGTGATGAGGAAACGGAGGCGTATGTCACCAACCTGTCCTACTACCATCTGGTCCCGTTTGAGACCGACATCCTGGAATGAAGACTTGTGGATGGAAATGTTTTGGGTGTAGACAAACTATGCAAAGCTGCGTCTAGTGGCTCCCTTTGAATGCTGCTGCTGCTTTTTCTAGCAGTTTCTAGACTAACTCAAATCTCCTACAGTATGCACCAAAAAACTAAAAAAAATGCAACGGCAGCATCACTTCATCCACTTTATGTGACATCACCAATGTGCCTCATCCGGAGCCTTACCTGTGCTTATCATTTTATGCCATGTCAAAGGCTTCAGAAGGATGTAGTAGGCCAAGAAAGGAGGTCCACCATTTTCCAGCATGCTACCAGAACTGAAATATCAGTTTTTGGGGTTTGGACTGTGGGTGCAACTAAGCTATGTACTACATATATTTGAATTGTGGAAGCAAATTTCCCTCATTGGAGTTTTTTTTGTGTAATGGACCAGCACTCTCTTTTATTTGACGGTGTCTCTTTACTCTGTCCTGTTTATTCTCTCATTGACTGCTCCTTGATGCAGTTGGCCTGGTTCCCTGAAGAGATTTGTGATGGATCTGCAGAGCCTGTTGACTTCTTGTTTGAACTGCTCCATAAAGCGTTACTCCCAGTGTTACCTCTCTGGAGTGGGAGGAGAAAAAAAGAAAAAAAAGAAGCCGTCTTGAAGCATTGTGTGCCATTCTTGTTTATGGCGCCCTTTTCCACCAGCATTCAGAATCAGACTGTGCACAGTGGGTTCTCTGGCATGATGGTGTTCCAAAAGCCAAGTGAAACTTGTCTACATTCATTCTGTTGACACACTTGAGGAATTTAGCTGCCACTGAGCACAAAAAGAAAAAGAAATGCCACTGAAACAAACTGTTCTATAAGCTGGTGGTGCTCCAAGCAATAATTAAGAATCTTGGATGCTGACAGACTCCACTTTGTTAGCATAAGCAGGAGATTGATTTTCATGGTGCGTCTGTCTCACTTGGCTCTTGGACTGCTGTCAAAACAAAGAACATAAAAGAGACACAAAGTTTATTTGCCTTTTCCTGTCTAAAGTGAGAATACAATGCTGCCTAGATTGTTTTTAGTAGAATTTTTGTCTTGATGATAATCAGAATGTTATTGTGACATAATGCTTGTAGTGTCGTATGGTATAAATCACTTGCTAAACAATTATTTTGGATAAATAAGGGCTGAGACTAAGTGTGGCCATAATGTTGGGAACTGAAACATCTCCCGCTGTTGCTGACATTTGATGAGGGATCAAGAGAGGCAAAGAAGGCTTTGTTTAAAGGCCCTGCTGAGGTCATTTCTGTCCCGTTCTGTAAGATGTCATGAGGGGGTTCAGTGTGGGAGTCCGCAGCTCGGTCTGTGATGGCAGAACAAGTCCTTTCTTTATCTAAAGAGGACGAATGGCTTTTCTTTGCTCACACGTTCTATAGGAAAAATTGTGTTAAAAAAAAGCAAACACTTGATTAAATCTCATGCCTTTACAGGTTGTATGGGCACTTTAATTTCTTACACATGGACTTTAGAACTCAGTGAGCATTGCATATGTTTTGCATGCAGCAGAAAGGCTGCAAATGTGTATTTTTGTGTTGTTAACTGTCTTTGTTTTGAGAGTCTTGTCACCAGAGAGGGCAGTGGAGCTTTACAAAGTGGGCTAACAGTTTACGTCCGGGTTCCAGACTCTCTAAATACGAAAGCATTCAACCCTCACAAACTTGGCACATAAGCCTTCAGCATGTCCTCTGCATGAGTCTATTTAGTAACACAGTCATGATCTCTATTCACCCCGTGAGAAAGTGCAGCTCTTTCACGGGCTACACACTGTCTGATGCTGTTCTTTTTTATTTAAGTCATAAAGGTTTCTGTTAAAATGGATTTGTTGTTGGATGCAGTACACAGCCACAGAATAAAGCCTACTCTATTTGATGTCATGCGTAGAAACTGGAAAGTCTTATTTATTGGTTTTCTATCTTTGAATGGTATCAAATTCTTTCAGAAACTGCTCACATATTTAAAAATCAACATCTTATTACATGTCTGTGTAGTTATGACTGCAGTGGTACTAAATCTCCAAAAAGCTCAAATTTCAGTAAAGTTTGAAACATGTCAAAATGTACATTGTATCAGTTAGGTTTTTTATGACTCTTAAGGGCACACAGACATGATATGAAAATAAAGCTGCATTGGGATATAATCTATACTGTAAACTTTTGCCAATTTCTGTGAAGCTAGCCATTCTATGCCATGTTATAATTGTATGTTTACATTCTCATCTCATATGTAAGATGATCCTTTGCTGTGTTAATAAGTGAAAATGAAATTAATGTGTAATAGATTAAATGTGTATGTTAATATGTTTGATAACATCAAAGCAATTCAGTATTACATTCAAATTATTACTATGAAAGCTTCTCAAAACAAATAAATATGTTTTCAATAAAAGATTTTGATATCATAATCCTTTATTACAGTTTTGATACAAGGTTGGGTTTGAGCGAATTGTTAACTTGGAAGGACATCTTGTGGCTGACGTTGGTATGGCTGATATATAGTAACTCTATTCTTTTTCAACAGTTTGCATGAAAATACTCACAAAGCTTTCTTGTAATTTCTTTCAATAGTCTTAATCATAGCCCAGCCTTAAACTTGTAGTTGTACATGTCATTCACCCACTCACACACACATTCACACACCAGTGGATGCACCAGTAGGCAGCTTGGGGTTCAGAGTTGTGGATAATTTGGTGAATATATTAATAATTGCCATAGCAAGTGCCTAGCCCGAGGACTCTTTTTGACACGTGGTCTGGAGGAACACAAAGCTGAAGCAGTGATTCAACAAAAAATTCCACCTGAGCTACAGGCGCTCCATTTTAATGTCATCATACCTTTTCAACTGTTGAACAAAATACATTTCTTTCCAAAGTGTCCCAAAAGATTCAAATTGGGTTCTGTGCTTTGTTGTATATTTTTCACTATATTAATCTTGTCTTTGTTTGAGCAGTAATAACTTTGGTTCATTCTTTGCAAATGGTGATATTAATAAAATAATATTGATTGGGAACTCTTAGTGGAGATGATTTTAATAATAATCCCCCTCAAGAATTAGTTTGTCACAGTATTCGTTTCACGTGCTCAATCTGACTTTTGAACCCAGCAGTCCCTTCACTCGGCGGGGAAATTAATGGATGTATTTAGTTTTTTTTTTAGCACAAACATATGTAGAATAATTGACTTACCAACTTATTTTTTTTAACGCATTTATTTAAAAAAAAAACGTTTTTTACTTTTTTATGCTCGAAGTGTTGCCTTCAGGAGTCTGCGTCAACTCGCGCATGCGCGAAACGGACCCTTTTAGCAGCTGTATTTCCTGCTTGCAGTATCCACTCGAAGCCATGGCAGAAGTGAAAGCTTCGTTGATTTGTGGAGGTACGTTGACTTTTTATATCCTGTCTTAGGGACATCCGATATCATATATAACCCCAACAGGTGTTTAAAACGACCCATGGAGCCGCTTTTGCTGAAAGTGTGGCCAGAAGTAATGCCCAGTTAGCTGCTTTAGCCTGTGATGCTTCAGTCATCTGGGCTCAGGCTGGAGGAGCATGCAGGTCTGGACACTGAGATAAGCATGCATTCAGTCGGATTCTTTTGTCGTTGCAGTTTTGGCGGCTTTCTTGAGTTCGACAGTGCTTGCCTTCGTGGAGGATCTAGATGACACGTAAGTGATGCCCCTCTGTAAGCCCCACACCGCAGCTTCCTGCTGCTAAAACACGAGCCTTCAATGCAGCTTCCGAGAGTCCAATCACTAATTGTGTGGATACAAAGTGACCCAGTCCTGCTTCTGTGCTTCTATTTACACTGCTTTGACTATATATCACTACATAGAACTAAAATTTATGCTTGTATCTTGTGAAAAGTGTACATTATGAGCTGTTTCCCTTGTTTCTTTAGCCTCTTATTCCAGGTTTTTTCAATCCAAAATGTCAGAAAATGAGACTTGACAATCACACATGAGTCTTAGTTTTTTATTTTTGCATTTAGGAATAAAGAAGACACAGAACAGTAAAATCTATAACCGGCAATTCTCAGTTATTGTCTTGTCATCATATTGACTGCAGATAAAAAGTCATTGCAGGGTTTATATCAAAGTAGCCAATACTGTAGTGGTTCTTTGATGATTGCCTGTATTCATCTGTCTTGCAAGGTGGCTCATTCAGTGTTGTATAAATGCCATGTGATTATCTTAAATTGCCCATGTCCTTTGAATGGATTCTGTAATGTAATTCTGGTCTGTCTGACAGATTTAAAGAAACAAGAGTACAAGACATCTGGCTGGTTGATGTGAGTATAACGTTGTATACACACACACACACACCCACGAACGATCTAATCTGGGTCCATTGAGCCTCGCTTTACTTCGTATTCAGCATTCTGGTGTCTGGATGGTCACTAGCGGAAGTGGGAGCAGTCATGGTGGGATGTAATGAGGGATGCTGTCCTCTTTGTTTGAGATTAGTCAATGAGAAGTCATGCATGCCAGGCAAAGCCAGAGGGTTTGCAGAGGTTTATATCAGAATATGTGTCCGGACCCTTTTAAAGGGAAAGTTGCTACCTCTGCCAGTTTATGCTGCAGAGTTTTAATGTACAGTATTATGTCAAACATTTCATTAAAAATCAGACGTGTATTTCAAATGAGTGAATGAGCAATAAATGTATAAAGTTACTTGATAAAGACTTCATATCTTAGGGTTTTACTTTTATTGTGCATTTTTTGAATGTGTTTCAATTCAGATTAAAGATATGAGTAACTCCGGGCATTTAAAAGGCATGATCGTCTACAATCTCTTTGTATCTGTAATGCATTCTTCCAAACTTCTGTGGCTGACAATCTCTAACTAATGAGGTATAAAATTTGGAACAATTATCATAACAGAAGCCAGATATTTTTCAGTAGAGTTATTTGACCTCCATGTGGCCCTACAGGGGCTAAAAACTGCTGAGGTATTTATGTCAAAACTACAAACATGTAACGACTGCTTTATAAAGTAAAAATGTCAATTTTAAATGTCATTATCATCATTATAGTGTTTTTCTGTAAACTCTATTCCACCCATAAACCACGTGACCTGCAGTGTTTTTTCAACAAAGAAACGAGCAGGAGCCACCCTGATGACCCACATGTGGGTGTTTCCTAGCTGAGCAAAGTTAAACTGGCACATTAGTGCAGAGGGGGCTTTTTGGGGAACTGGGCTCCCTTAGCTTTCAGAAAATTGTGAACATGCAGAAACAAATGTCACTCCTAGAGATGCGTCTGGTGAGGGAACTTTAAAGTGTTCCACATTTGGATTGTCTGGGTAATTTGGACACACAGTTGATCAGACATGCAGTTGTGAAGTCTTTAGAACAGAAGAAACAAACAACTGTCATTTGAACACACTCTTAAATAAGATACCTTATTCTATCTCGACGCAGTTTCTATTAAATGACTTGACTTTGCACGGAAAAAAGCAGCTTGATTTGTAATAAATGTATTGTTTTCAGATGTCTGCTCAGCTTTCTTCATGTCACTTTTCTATCTACCTCACAGTAATGAATGGAGAGGCTTTGGGGACAAGTCCCCGTAAAATCTGAAATCCTTTTTTTTTGTTTGTGAGGATGTGAGACAACGGTTAAATCACTGCCATCTCAGAATCAGAAACTTTTAGTTATCTTCAACACTGATTCCACACTTTCAAGATGTCTGAAACAAACCTTTATCCTGTCCAATTAATGGTTGTGCATTCAAAGTAATCCCTATTAATCTGTATGTTTATAGTTATTCTGCATATTCTTATTGTTAAGCTACTTTGTGCTGTTATTCCATTCTTCCACAGTCATGCTGTTACACAGCTGCAGCACACAAAGCTCCAGGGACATTTAGCAGTTATTTGGATGCATTTCACTGGACTCACAACAATAAGATGAACATCACTATGAAATATTTGCGTTGCTAAGAGTTTTATTTGTTTTTAAACGCCAAAATGTTGCTCAGAGTTCAGTCTGGTTTGATATCTGATGGTTTGTGAGACGGACTGTGTCATTGTGTTCCTCTTGTGTGTTTTTTTTTTCTCCAGTTCTATGCTCCGTGGTGCGGCTACTGTAAAAAGCTGGAGCCCATATGGCACGAAGTGGGGATGGAGCTGAAGAGCTCGGGGTCGCCTGTTCGTGTAGGCAAGATGGACGCCACAGCTTACTCAGGTGAGTAAAACAAAACAATAATTGACGCGGTTTTCAAATATCTCCTTTGAGTTTAGTTTTTTTTTCCTGTCTTTTTTAGTGTATTTGACACTACTGTCACATTGACGGACCTTTTCAGAAATATACTCCTATGTGGATTTCATGGTTTAGTTTTGAAGTGAAATCGATAAGACAACAGCGTGTGCTTTGGTAGTCCTCCCTTTCTGCTCAGAGATGCTAATTTTTGCTTTCTGAGTTGCAGGAATGGCGTCAGAGTTCGGTGTCCGTGGTTACCCAACAATAAAACTGTAAGAGACACTCTTGAGATTTTGAACTTTTCAGAAATTGTTGTAATTTGATGTAGTTTTTAGTGGCTCAGACAAATGATAGAAGGGCTTTTTGGATTCACAATAACATTTATACAGCGGTTGCTTAGAATTCAGATTGGACTCTAAATTTAGTTTGAATTTAATGCTGATTCATGGCTGTCCTTTCTGATTTGAATCCGTTTTTATGTTAAACACTGCAGGTGTGACTCACCACCTCGCCTGTCTTTGAATTGCGTTGCCGCTGTTGTGCTTTCTCCCAGAAGGCTCGGTGTGTTTACACGTCCTTGGGTATTTACCATATCCAGGAGGGACTAAAGTGTTATTGTGTTTTTCATTAGGCATAACTAACTGACAAGCTCTGTTCACACATGTTGGACTCCAATTTCATTAATGTTGCCAGAGTGGTTTTGATTAAACATTTATTGGACATAAAATATGTAAAATATTACATAGAAGTTAATCAGTTTTGTCTTTGTTGTGTCTGTTAGTATGTTTAAAAAAATCAATCGATATGATAGGATTTCTTCTCAGATTAAATCATTTCTTTAGGTGAAAGTTACATTTTTTCAACCCCAAAAATGGCATTGTTTTCAGTAGACTGCAGGTGCTCAGCAGCAGAGCTCATGTAGACATGAGATGAATGAGCAGTTTTCCTCATATATCTCAAACTGAAGCATTTATCAGCGCGCCACCATAATGTGCTTCCCATTTAGTTTCATCAAGCACCATTTGGGGAAACTGCCACACGATGATGGCAGGGCTCATAACATTAAATCAAGCAAGTGATGAAACATCCATGGAAGAACATGAGCTCCCTCCCCGGATGACAGAAAGCCTTGATTTAGAGTTCATTTTCCCCAGAGTTCATTAAGCCCTGTAGGCTGATGCAACCTTAGCTGTCCTTAATGCATTCTGTTGTTGGATGAACGTGACACGACCAGCCCCTCTAGTTCGAGCTCAATTAGGTGAAAGTCTTTTGCTTTTTTTTTCCCTGTTAGAGGGGCAAGGATTTAAATTAAGTTGACCTGTGTAATAAATGAGGGTTTTCTTGTGGTGGCAGTTTCATCAGAAAGCTTTGGGATTTGCAGGTTACAACGCAAGAACAGACTCTTAAGTTTATTAACTGCTCTGACTACAATAAATGGAAAGAAAAGATGTTGAAAACAACTTTTAACGAGATGATTTAGCCACCATTAAGAGACAAAATGGGAAGAAAACATGACCTTGATGGACTAAGAGTGCAGGCAGAAAAGAAAAAGTCCAAATAACGCAAACAACTCTGCATAATTCACAGAAACTTTATTTTAGTGCACGAAAAACGGGAAAACAGGACGTAAGAGGGTGCATCAAACAGAGCGTCACTTATAAGATCGGTAGGACAGGTGAATAATCAAAAAGGACACACAAAAGGGCACAATATGAGCCAACATTCTTATTCCATCAGGACATCCTCATGGAATAAGGAAAATAAGCTTAATTTTCTATAAGTAAAATTGTTAAGAATGCACCCTTCTGCATTTAGTTTTTGTCCTAAAGGGGTGAATTTGAACCTTATTAGCTTATTAAATGATTGACTCCTTTACTTAAATAAAAAAACAAACTTGGGTTGTTTTGAAAGTATGTTTTATGTATTTTTCAGTCAGTGATGGAAAGACCAAGTTTGCAGTGTTGGACTGAATTTTAAAACCAAATATTTTGTTGCCTTTATCTCCTGGAGGAGATTTTAAAGCTTTGCTCATTTCGATCAAACCTGGTTGTTAACGTTCTTGAATTAAAATGAAGATCCCAATCATTCCTGTGGAACTTACTTTTGTGTTTTCTTATTTCTCCATTTCAGGTTGAAGGGGGATCTTGCCTACAATTACAAGGGACCAAGGACAAAAGATGATATAGTGGAGTTTGCCAATAGAGTGGCAGGGTGAGTCACTGGCATCAAAGAAAATGACACGAAAGCAAGAACTGGCCAAAACTTCCCAAAGAGAGATGTGCCGAACTAATGAAAGTCATCCAAGCTAACTTATCAACGCAGGGACTATTTGTTTCATAGCTTAGTGGAGTTCTCACTCTGATGCTTCACTTCAAGTTGCCCAAGCCTGGCAGATTTCCTCCTAGAGGGGAAATCGGGCTTGATCCATGACACAGGGGCTGATCAAAAGCTTGGCTTAAAGTCCAGGGTGGTAACTCCCTCAGCCTCCACTGGGTGGTGCCGTCAGCCCAGAAATCGTCAGCAGGGCCTCACATTTCGGAGCATCGAGTGTGTGTCGTGCAGGTTTTCATGTTGCCAATCGTCCACGTGAACTAATCTTTGTTTTTGTTTTCTGTCAGGCCGGCTGTCCGGGCTCTTCCCAGCAAGCAGATGTTTGAGCACATGATGAAGCGACACGACGTCCTTTTTGTGTACATCGGTGGGGAGTCTCCCCTCAGGGTAAGCGGCATTTGGATCGCACAGATAGGAATCAAGTTTGCGCCTCTTGGGGGCGACCCTTATTCCAGATCGATTGCATTAAAGCAGCAGCGCCGTGGTGCATTTGCATATTTCAAAAGGATAAGATCTGTGAGGCTTTTGCAAAAGGGCTGAAAGAGTTTTTTTTTTCTTTACTTCTGCAGGAAAAATACAGTGATGCAGCATCTGAGCTGATTGTCTATACGTACTTCTTCTCAGCTTCAGAGGAAGCATTGCCAGAGGTAAATATCCAAACCTTTTTATTTATTTATTTATTTATTTATTTATTTTTTTTTAAATGAAGCTCGTCAGGTGATTGCTCTAATTTAGATTTAATGTCTGCCTTCTTTGAGCGGACTTACTCCCCTTTAAACAGACACAAGCACGGAGGTCTGATTGTGTCACCTCCTGTTTTCCTGGTGCTTACGAAGTAATGAGGATTCATGGAGTTGGAGTAAAGTCACTAACGATGTAAATTTTCCTTTGCTGTGTTTTTTTTTAACAGTCGGTGGTTTTGTCAGAGCTTCCCACAGTCGCCGTCTTTAAGGATGGAGGCTATTTCACTTATGACGGTGAGTCCTCTCTAACCTTCTGTTGTCCTGGTATAGTGTGACTGTTCATTCCTGCCGTTCCCTCCTCCTCCTCCTCTGCTCCTTTCTGGATCATCCCTTTCTGGTATGTTGGTTTGGTTTTGCCCGTTTCTGCTGCCGGTCTTTCATCTTTCCTCACCACACTGACTTATGGTGAGCCGGGCCCATCGTAAAGCGCCCGGGACTCTGCCCACTATTATAGAGGTGCGGTCGGGCTGCTGTTGTTGTGGCGGTTTTGTCTCCGGGTGGACGAGCACGGCAGGCCTCGTTTGCCGTTACGGGCACGAGTGGGCGTAAGCGACCACAGTTTTGGGGAAAAAAAAGAAAGAAGCCAGTGCGGATCCCGTCAAGCAAAGCTTGGAGCAGACTCAACTGATCGTATTTGACTTAAGAGGTTCAGAGCAGCTGCTTTTAATCTGCCCACGGTGAGGCTTCTCATCGGAGCAGTGTCAGCACGCCACATTTCTCCACGATGTCTTGTACGTCGAGGCCACATCGCGCTTGAGGCGGGAGGCGGAAGCCGAAGAGGAGCGCGTCCAGGCACAGCGCCAGCACGAAGGGGCCCCAGTAGTGGCTGTTGGGGAGGCCAGGCGCACGGCGCGTCGCCCGTAGAACAAACGCCAGGCTCGACGCCGCCGCCGCTCGCGCGGTCACCTCGGTCTGCTCCACCTCGCCGTTGCAGAAAGCGGGCTTCCGGCTCCAGAACCGCAGCAGCAGGGGCTCGCCACAGACCACGCTTATGAGGAAAACTCCACTCTCCGCAGAGTCCTCCAGGACTCGGATACAGAGGATGTGGCAAATGTCTCGCATTGCCATGGTTACAGCGTGTTAAACTTATTGAGGATCAGGATGGGGTGCTAGATGGAAAAATGACTCGGCTTTGTCCTTGCTTTTTTCTCTCTCTTTTCAGTTCAAAAGAAACCGCAAAAAGAAAAATGGTCTTACTCTCGACCCCTGTGGATAAAAAAAGACAGTATCTCATTAAGCGTTAGGCATATCTTACTCGCAGTGAGAGCAGAGCGGAAAACTCCCCAGCTGGCATTGAGAAAGAACGTTTTGTCTTCTTTCTTACCACCTCTGATCCTCGGTGTCGGCTCTCTTCTGTGTTTCTCATCAGACTGCTCCCCTTGAAATTCCGCGAACTGGATGTTGGCTCAGGGAAATGATGCATCTCAGCCACCTCAGGTGGTTTTTGTGTTATCCTCCCTTTGCATGACGTTCTGTCAGAATTTCTTATCAAACGTTATTTGGCTAACCTTCCCAGACACATTTGCATATCTACAATGTCACAGGTTCACGTCAGTCTTTGTGTGCAGGTATTCTGCCACATACCACAGACATAGTCTCCATTTATTGAAATGCTTCCTTTTCATCTACCTCCCCGGAAGAATTTGTAAAGAGCTTTCATCACGTATCCCCCCCGGTGTTTATTCATTCTTCTTATTTTAGTTTGCGATGACGGCAACTCAAAACACTTCTTAGAAATTCACTGTAAACTTCCTGCTGCTCCTGTACAGGTCTATGTTTTTTTTTTAAAAGAACAGGTCCCACTGAGCAGAACAGCTCTCCCCAAACACGGCCCTTTGTTTCCTGTGAAGACGATATTTGACACGTTGTTGTTCGGCTTTGATTGTAGCGGTGCACATCACAAACAGTGGCATTCCTTTTTGCATTAAAATATAGTCGGGCAGAGAGCCTCATGCATATTTAATTACTCAACTCCTCAGTTCGTTACCGTCTTTCAAGTACAACGTTTGATGGTTATGCGTTTGGACATAAAGACACGAGCTGACGTTTTTCTTTTTTTTTAAGAGAGAAAAAAATAAATCAGACTTTTTGTTGGAATGCATGTTATATTTTTGTCACTGTATTGATTTAATCTCTTTAAAAACCGGAGCTCCACATACCGCTTTCTATTAATCTGCTTTCGTGGCTGAGAGTAGGATCGAGGTTCTCCTTATAAGGAAGCAAGGTGAGGCAGAGCCTCTTTGCATTTATTGGAAGCATTTAACACCATAAGGGCATTTAGGAAAGTGGATTATTTGCATTTTGCATCAGCAGCCTCTGACCAACAGCAGCCTCCAGGACTAAACTCAAAACAAGTGACAAAAGCTCTCCTTGATTGACTGGATGTTTGAGCCTGCCTCTAAAAGTGTATCTGTCCTAATGTTAAATGGGCCTGAATTATCACAAAGATGAGTTTGGGGTCTGGAGTGTGTGTGGATTTTTTTATCCGCTATTTCGCTGAACCTTTATCTGGATGTGCACGTTAATGAAAATCAGCAGGGTAAATCATAAAATGGGTATAATTTTTGTTCATTTGTTGCAAATAACAAGATGCAATGCAAAATGTATCATCTTTTTAAAAAGCACTTGTTCAACTTGTCGACTTAAAAAACATGTTGATTGGAGCCTGTCGAATACACGAAGCCACAACTTGGTGCTTTTTTCTGGCATTAGACCTATTTAAGCATTTACCATGAAATCTTCCAACCATCGCTTCATATCTGATCTGAAACTTTTGGTTTAGTTGCATGTACATCTCCTGCTACTGCTCTGGTTAACAGTTTGAAATAATCAGCCTATCACCAGCTGCAGTCACTCTGACACCACAGTCTCCAGAGTTCATCCAAATGGAACCATAACTGTGAAAATTTAATTGAAATCACTTCATTGGTTAATGAGGTCTCTGGAACTCTGAGCTGGTGTAAATGTCTCCTGATGAATGCAAGTTTTTATGAAAACGCTTCCAAAACTGAACAGCAGAGACACGATCCTACTCTCTCTGTACAATAGAAAAGTAAGTTATACTATATACAGGTGTCTGTTGTATGGTTGGAGAGCAAATGTCAGCATTATGCCGTTTTCTTTAAACCTCGATCTTTTCACCCTATGGCACCTTCTGCGTCATACCCTGTTTGAGTTATCTTTCATTACGCTACCTTCCTCCTCCCAGCGCTTCTGTTTTTGCCTACCCTATTTGCATAGTCTTGGAGGTCTTCTCCACCATTAACCTTCATCCTCGAAATGTGTCGAAGCACACTCCTCCTCCCTCCCCTCCGCTCCCTGACACCGGATCATCTTCCCCTCCACCCACTGTCTGTTTTTATTCCCTCTCCTGCCCCTCATCTCTCCGTCTCGTCTCGGCGCGAGCTCTTGGCTGACAGGCCCCTGCAGGGCAGCGCGGAGTTTGTGAGGCTCCCACCCCGGAAGGGGAGCGCTGCTCATTTGTTTCAAGGTGAAGCAGGTTCAGTCAGTCCACCGGAGCTTCATCAGTCTTAAAAACCTTAAAAAAAAAAAAAAAAAACGGCCTCCCGCGCTCTTTCTCTGTGTGTTGCTTCTGGGGAGAAGTTTGGCAGCTGCATGCCGTCTATAAAGCTTGAACATCTGTGGAAAAAAAAAAAGTCTTTGGAATGTCTGCTAGATCGACTGACTCAGCAGGCTTCACAACGAGGTTCCTGTGCCTTTACACAGCAGCAGCACCGAGAAATATATTCCAACACTCCTGGAAGCTACGGCGAGGTACAACCTTGGTTTTTTAAAACCATGTTCCAGGTTTAAAGTTGTCATGTTCCGTGTTGTCCTCCAGCTGCTTTGAGCCCCCGCAGCACAAAAAAAACGAAGCTAAAAGTCATCAGCGTTCGTGTAATTGCTGGAACGGTAGCAGAAAGGTTGTAATAACTTATTAACACGTCGTAATGAGGTCCAGGCTACATTTGACATCAATTATGTCAAGCTGGCGGCCTTATTTTACCCCCCCCCCCCCCTCCCCCAGGTAGGCATCTTAGCCTTAGCTTCTGCTTTATTTTTTATTAACTTTTTTACTATGAGTCATTTTTGTTGTACTTGTTCACACATGTTGAAATATTCATTCTCTGCCTTTTCTACAGAAAATGACTTTTTAAAGAAGATAAATTATGCTCTACGGCAATAAAAACCGGGTAGGGAAAAAAAGGGTTGTAAATAAAAATGGATCACTTTTGACATCTGGTCATCTGAGGGATAAAAATGTTAGCAGCGTGTTATTGTCCCAATGAAAATATTCTTGGAGCTGTTACCTCTGTTTTGGTCTGCATTGATTCCCTGAGTCAGACCATTGTGCTCACAAATGGCCTTGCCGCCCGCTCCAGCCAGGGGCAGGCAATCTAAATGATTTCTGATCTTTGTTTAGTCGACCTACGTCTGTGAATGCTCAGCCTGTGTCGCACTCTTTACCTACGAACGGCTCACATGTGGTCACCGCTGTGATCCGGCCTTCGATACGCGCTCCTCTGCTCCGCTTTGATGCAGACGGCTTGCTCGCTGAATGTCGATAAGCTGCTTTGTCCTTCTGCCTCTGAAAGCATGCGTCTCTCCGTGTTGCAGAGTACGAAGATGGTGTCTTGTCGTCTTGGGTGAACAAGGAGCGCTTCCAAGGATACCTCCAGATTGACGGCTTCACGCTGTACGAGCTTGGAGAAACAGGTGGTGTATTCAGCTCTCGTGAAATGCATAACTTCTTAAATGTAAACAAGTCCAGCTGTGTCTTTACCTCTTTGAGTAGTCGTCGTCCTGGGAGCTGTGATTTTCACATGTCGCTCATCAGTGTTTGCGGTTGCTTCTAAAATGTCGCTTAAAACCTGAAAAAATGCAAAGAGAGGGATACCCAGAGGTGAGCGTCCAGCCAACAGTGCAAAAACCTCAAAGTATTCATTTTACCGTCGCCCAAAACAAAAGAGGCAAAGCAAATTCTCACCGTCGAAAAGCCCACTCTGTGATTTTCCCTTTGAATTTTCTTTTGTTTTTCTCATAATTCATCACCCGCAAAAAAAATGCAGCTCCACTTTCTGCAGACTGACTCATTTAAATAGCTATATTTCATAAGCTGTGAACATAAGCTGTGTTTTTCTTTATTGCTGTTTGTGTGTTTGTTTGTGTGTGTGTGTGTCCTTTTTCGGTCTTTACGACCAGGAAGCCAAAGTCACTTGTAAGCATTTTCAAACTGCATATTAAATACAAGCATACATCATTGGGTCAGCACAGTTTTATTATAATATTAAGTCCCTAATGTTTATCAGCCTTACATCTGGGGGCTGTTAAAGAAAAAGAGCTTCCTCCACCTCCAGAAATAGCCCTTGTTGCTTCTCTTATTCAAACACATTTTGCCTTGAAAAGGTAATTTAAGCGCAAGAGTGAAATACAACCTGCCTCTTAAACAGCTCTAAGTTGATGCTCTGTGCAGATAAAGCTTTGTTTTCTAATATCAGATTGAGTACTTTCCTCTTTAATGTGCTTTTTAGGACAGGGATGCCCATCAAACAGTAGCTGAGATTTGTGGCCAGCTACGATTGTACTTTTTCACCCCTTTAAACTAGAAATGCTGCTTACTATTAACATTTCCGTCTGTAAAAGGTTTTCTGAACTTTTGTAATTCTTAAACATTGTGTGATTAATGTTTGCACACTGTGAATGTGTGGAAGCAGTAAGAAAAAAAAAGAAAAAGAAATTGGCAGCCACCTTGTCGCTGAATTCTTTTTCAACAAGGTTTCAGATTTCATGCACGAGGTGCTCAGTGGAGGTGGTGGGATGATACAGTATTTTATGCTCCAAAATTCTCCATCCCACACATCATAAGTCATGCTGACACAAAACTTGATACAAACATCTAAATACTGGGGGGAACTAAATCAATTTAGAGCCTGAAACTGTAATTAAGATCTATTTATGGGGCGTGATTTAAGGCACAAAAATGCAGACTGAGACTCAAATTGGTCCCATATTGAAAGCAAAATCTGTTTAGATGTTTTTGAAAGTAAGGGCAAGGAAAACCAAAAACTTTCTTTATAGCACAACAGAGTCTTTGTATAAATGTACAAATAAGTTTTTGCTTGGTTTTCTTTCCATTTCTTGACATGAAAGAATGCTTGCTTGCACATTAATCCTGGCTTTGCTCTCTGTGTCAGTCATCCGCTGGGTAAACAATTCTGCCTTAAACCAGTGGATTAGAAAGGGAGTTGGACTCCCTGAAATGTGATTTTTTGATTTTTCAGATGGATGTATTGAACTAGATTACATCACTGAGCTCAAGTGAAAATGACTTTATTCAGGCTTTCACCAGAAAACGTTCAATTTGAATGACAAATGCAGCATTCATGAATGCGTTTCGATGCATTAAAACAAGGAGAAAGAGCTAAATGAATTCTCATTCCACATTATATTTGATTAGTGATCATAGCTTGGAGATTGAGAGGCCTAATCGTCTTTGACCTGCGTGACACAGCAATCAATTCCAATTTTATAAAAGACCCGAACCGTCCTCTGAAGGTGCAAAAAAATGTTTCAATGTTCCAGATTATCTGAGGACCAAAGAATACATCACATTTCACAGTGGGAGAATAAAAGCCAGAGGGCAGTGGGCCAGGAAACATTTCCTAATGAGATTTTGTGAAGATGCACTTTGAAACAAGGAACCATTAGAACAAAGAGTTTTGATTAATTACAAATTCTAAAAGACTGTAAGAACTTTGCTCCACATTTATATGATGTGCATGGCATTTCTGCAAGATAGCATTACGTTTTTCTGTTATATTCTCTGATAATGCTCAAATCAATTACAAGCTACCAGTGAGAACAGTTTATGTATTAACAGTTTCTGAACCGATCTTCTGCACTGCATCTAAACCAAAATCAATTTCGAAACAGCTTTTTTTCCCCCCTTTTCCACATTTCCTTATAGTTTGTCTTATGGCTGTCATCCTGTGTTGGTGATTTGATTAGTTACTTTTGCTGTCAGGTTTGTGGACCATTTTGTGATGATTTATTCAACCAGCAGTCTATCTTTTTAAAGGAAAATCCGAGTACTTCCGAGCTTGTAGGCATTTTAAATGACCCTTTTAAGCCAGGCAAAAATGATCTTCACACTTTAGCAACTCAGATTTAAGCTACAGGGGAGATGACACTTTCCTTTATTTTTAACCCAAATTGTGGCATATTCTAATCTTAAAAACCCTGGATGTGATGCAGGAAAACCCCTGTGCACAGAAAAAATGAAGTATCTTTTCTGGTTATTCCAGCACAGACGATAATTCTACAACTACAACAACAAGTAGACGCTGTCCACCTTGTTAGGTGTTCAAATACTGCACCGGAGAAATTCCGCACAGGTGGAAGCTTACACGGGTTCCTTTGCTATCCAACGTTTTTTAGAATATTTTGGGTTGTACATGACACCAACACCATGTACCTGGTTGTCCTTTCTCTTTCGGATACCAGCAGGGGGCAGGCTGGCACTCTCATCAAACTTATCAAGCTTCCAGCCTCTCACCATGACATTTGGAATCAGGGACTTTTAAAGTTGTGTAACCTTTTTTTTTTTCCAGTAGAACTGTTTGTCATGTCATGGTTTTAGGTTTTGAATGGCTGAAATAGCTCTCCCTCCAGAAAGTGAACACGTGTTTCCTGTCCAAGAAGAGTGAAAGCCTAAGTCGGTTTAATGTTTGAGTGATGAATGAGGAAATGAAGACTCTGTGCCTCCCTTCCTTTCTTTTCCCCCCATTGAGAGATGATGCATCACCCGCAGAGTCTTAAACTTGCCCGCTATTGTCTTCACACTCTCTTTGTGTGCTTGATTGTGATTTGTAATCCTTGTCTGCCACCTCAGGCAAACTGGTGGCGATCGCAGTCATTGATGAGAAGGACTCCACAGAGGCGAGCAGCAGGTATAAAGAACACCCGAATTAAAAAGCCCGCTTCTTTTATAAATCGTCTCCTTGCTTCCCACAATAGCCGCGCTTAAGTGCGCGGCTTTCAAATAAAGATAAGACTTACTGTTATTGTTTGAAGCTTCCCACTAATTGCAGCCACCAGCTAAAAAAAGATAGGCGCCAACTCATGTGGTATTTCACTCTCTTCTCATTTGGCTGCAGATTAAAGACCATGATGCAGAGGGTGGCAAAGGAGTACAGGGAGCATTTTAACAGGTAAGGCACAGAAACATGACGAGGTCAGAAACGAAAACCCGGCTTGTGCGTATATTCTAGGATGGCGCGCTCACTGGGGAACGCCGCCCTCATATTCACGAGAAAGTTTATGCCTTTGTGAGGGAATATCTTTCCGTGAGACTTTTTTTTTTGTTGCAGTTTAGTCAAGAGGTAATTAGGAGAAATGTCAGCTTCCAGATATAGGTGTTCTTTTCAGCTGTCAATCAGGATGCACCGTTTTTTTTTTTTTTTTTTTTTTTTTCCCCTCCAGCTCTCACAGAGCAATAACAACACGGGGAGGGGTATTTATGTTTTACAGTGTGTTGCTCCGCCGCTGCAGAAGAACGAGGCAAATAAAAACAGACCAAAACATGTTTATTCTCACAGCAGTTATGGTGGCTCCAAAAGAAGGCGCAGTTCTGATGAACGACGCTCAAACGTTTAACATAGATGTGTATAATCAGGCGTAACCTGTGTAATCTGTGTGCGGGCCAGCAGGTTAATTTTGTGTGAACCGTCTCTGGATCATCTTCCAGTTAGAGGGTTTTTGATTAAAGCGCCGCTGAAGTTACTGCCGCTTTTGATGCCATGATCGAAGTTGTCTCTGCCTCCTCGGCCGTCCCAATTAGGTCCGATTGAATCACAAGCACCCCTATCATCAGCGAGACCACTATCGGCCCACCGTTTGAAGACGTCGTGGTTCGAGAACCCCGCTAAGTTCAGAACGGCCCCCGGTGTTCCCGTGCACCTAAGCATGATCGGTAATTACAAGCCTGCGTCTGCAGAGGCCCCCCCGGTGGTGGGTGGAGACGGCAGACGGAGTCAGGAGGATCACAGGCGGTGACTGACGTTTGAATGTAGCCGATGCCGTTTGATGCTGTAATCAGCGCCGCGGTGTTCAGCTTGCCCCCCCCCCCCCCCCCCCCCTGGCGCTTCAGTGCGTGAAGGGAGGCGGGGCGCAGACTGCTCTTGTGGGAAAGTCGGATTTTTGTCAATCGCTATGTGTTGAAATGCTGGACTGTCGTCATTATCGTCTCAGCTTTTATGTGCCAGCTGCTGCTTGTAAGACCTGACAACAAGCGTTATCACAAAGTCCTACTTTGAGGGCAAAGTGGGACTTTTGACCCATCCCTCTTGCCTGTAAATGGTTTTGGGCTCCTCGGATTCCCCGGTGAAAGGCAGTTAGACGTGGGGCCACATGCTCCCAGCACCAGCGTGCTTTACAGTACCACTAAGTGCAGAGTAACAAAGGTCCCTCTCCGCCCTCAGCCGTATAAGCCGGTGTTGTTATAGGTGTTGATAATGCCGCTGTTGAAAAACCTCTTGAAATAATATACTTTTTTCTTTGCCTTAAACCAAATAGTAGACATTCTAAGCATCTACGGAAGGGAGCACCGGAAATGTATTCTTATCAGATAATTTTTTGCACCAAATTGGAGCCATTTTAGGTTTGGCTGTCTATGATTATAAGTTTTTTTCTTCCCCTCTTTAAGCTTTTAATAGGTTTTCACATGAGTATTAATGCCTTATAAATCATCTAATTGTTAGTGCTTGATTTTAGTTGTAAATAACAATGGTTTAAATCAATGTTCAACATTTTTTTCATGTTTATATTCTGCTCAAACAACTAACAACACTCCAGCATCGTGCTTCTGTTGTCTTTTCCTACCTGGCCTGTGCATAACAGTCAAAGTCATCTTGACTTAAATGCAACAGCCGTTGTGTTTAATATGGCTCCATCCATCCCTATGTCAATAAGGGATAACCTTGTCGCAGTCTGAATATTCAATTTTCCCTACAATGGGCATTAGAAAACATTGAAATGATACAATGTCATTACCAAAACTCAGAATTATTCCAGAAAAAAGTGTTAGAACAGACCCAAACTGTGTGCCTTTCAGTCCCACACTCACCAGGACTTACAGGAAGTCTCTGTTGCCTGTCTCCTCCACTTCTTTCACTAATACAGGCAAGGTTCTCGGTAAGCTATGTCCCTTTTTGGCCAGCCTGCTCAGTGGTCTTGCCAAAAAGTGTCAGAGGGAAGATGGACACACAGGGTGAACAGATCTGTAAATATTGAAATAAGCGAGTGGCAGAGTACAAATAACAAGCTAAAAATGGACTGCGCTTCAACCTAAACATTTATTTTGTGTGAATAGACCAGTCTCCCCCTGTTGATCTTAGAGATGTGGATCATTTCCCACCACGTCACGAGTTACAGCCTCCCTCTGCGATGAGCTTTAGTCCCAGTTTTGCTTACTATTGAAAGGTGAAACGATCCCATTCATTTACTGACTTTTCCTATTAAATCCCAATGATTTGCTGTGTGGTTCTGCCTCTTTATAATCGTTCATAAAAGCACGGACAGGATTGTTTAGATCACAGATGCTGCTCTGATTTGATAAGGGTGTAATGTATATGCAGAGGCTCCTATCATCAGTCATGCGGGGAAGTTGCTTGCTTCCTGGACCTGTGCTGCTTCCTTTCCCAGGTTTACCCACAATACACTCTGCTGAGACATAGTGCAGCACTATGACATACAAATTGAATTTTTCCTCCCGCCTTATTGTTTAGATAAATCACCAGAGTCTTTTCTGTGGCAGAAGCAATGGGAGGGGAAACTGGAGATAGCACAGGACAGAGCTTTGGGGATTTATTTATTTATTTGTTTTTTTCCGCCGGTCGTGATGAAAGCGATCTCTTTTTAACAGCAACAACAATCAATTCCATTCATCAAGGTTTCATATTTGTGTGGTATTGAAGTTAGTTCAGCATTTTGGGGCTAATGTTATACCGTCCGCCGAGACAGTGAGTGTTCATTTTACTTCGTTTTTCTTTCTCATGTCTCGATTTTTCTTTCCCCTCCAGAGACTTCCAGTTTGGCCACATGGATGGGAACGACTACATTAACAGCCTCATTATGGGGTGAGTGTCTCATAACCAGCCTCCTCCTCTCCTCTCATGCCATTCTCCTCTTTTTTCAGCCTCGTGTTACCTTCTGTCAGCCACTTATCCAGGTTGTAATGCCAGCCTTTGCCATTAAGGACGTTCTCTTGTGGAGAAGTCAATTACTCAGACAGACTGTCATTTCTTTCGCAGCGCTCTAGGCAAGTTTAACCCCTCAAAAATCAGGCACGCGTGAAAAAAAAAACGCAAAGAAGTACAAGTTCCGGCACATGTGCACGTGAGGAGATCAGCCTGGTGTGAAGAGTAAAGAGAATCTTCCGGATAAGGCTGTGTGTGGATTAAATCTACAGCGGTCTTGTGTTTTAATAGCTTGCCACAGCGCAGCGCTAATGATGCACTTAGACCCCGCTGCAACAGCTTTTCTGCCCAGTCTGAAGCCTACTGGTTAGGGTGTCATGTTTAGAGAGACCCTCCATCTGACATGCCGCACTTTTAATTAGACAGGAAGCCCACCGGTTTTTACAGCCCGGCCGGGCTCGCAGCAATTGCACTGATTTGCGTCTTGTAACTTACAGCGTCTCATTATGTGCGCTTGTGTAGTTCTGTGTGAGAATCTGCAAGCATAATGGGTCCGCTGCTGGATTTTATTTTAATTTGAGCGTGTTATTGTTTGCAAGAGAGAGATTATAGCAGACATGGTCTCCTAAGTCCTGTGTAATTAAGTCCGTGTGTCACCATGTATAGAGGAAGTCGGATTTGAAATACGACTACATTGAACCGACAGAAACCTGGTACACAGAGCTGAGATTGCTCCGGCAGTTGGTATATTTAAGGATAAAAGAGATGATTAGCGCTCCTAATTTTTCACGGGTACGTACAGTGTGTGTTTGACTGGGTTTTACGGGACGGAATTTGGCTGCGGCAGTGCAGGATTAATTGCCCTCCTTTGAGGAATGAAATCCTGGCCTGTCAATGTCCACTAATCCTCTCCCATAGGAGGGCCATGGAAATAAATCTGATGGCTTTTTTGTTTCGGTTTCTGTCATCACCGTGATTACTGTGTTCTGGCAGAAGTCAGCCTCATTAGGGGCACAAGCACAAAAGAATGATGTACGCCACTCAAAGTCATATTTCTCTTTCTTTGAATATAGGATTATCTCTAACCTTTTAGAGGGCCTGAGAGAATTCTTAAAGAATTCATAGAAAATAACTAATCCAGTCATTAAAGTAAAATATGTTTTTCTATGGTAGATATATGCTTTCTTATTGATTTCATTTCTACTCAAACTTGAATACATATTTCATTCCATTTTAATTAGATCTATGCTAACAGCTTCTTGGTTTTAGCTTTGCTGAGCAATTTTAAAAGAAGGGTAACAAGAAGAGCAGGCAACGCCATTTATTAAAGTAGACTGAAAATAAGTGGCAACAGGTCCTGATGGTAGACCGGATATGAACTTGACTGAAGCAGTGTGGAATCATCTGACAGAGAACGGAGCAAAAGGCATGCCACATCCAAAAAAAGAGCTTTGGGATGTCCTTCAAGAAGCCTAGAGAGCTGTTCCTGAAGCCTCCTCAAAGAAATTATGGAAAACTTCAGCCTGTGTTGAAGAATATTTGCTTTCATTCCAAATATTGACTTTCAAGCTCATTATCTTCGAAAGCTGTTGTTTTTCAGCATGTTTTTTCAGGTCAATAAATAGCTGAACCTATTTCCTGTTTCTATGTCGATACATAGATGAGGGTTTCTGAAGACTTTTGCGTGGAACTTAAGATCCTATCATTAAAAAGCCAGAAGTGACTTTAATATTCTAAATTATGACCCGTTATCTGGGCAGCAAAACCCTCGGCGGCCTCCCTCACAGGCGTTAGAGGCTAATCCATATTTACTTTAAATGGGTGCCATCTGTTGGCGTGGGCTGGATGTCAGATGGAGGTATACATTCATTATGTGTGGGTTGGTGTGCATGTGCTCACGTGATGGCAGATCTCAGCTGGACACAGGCGCGCGGCGTTGATGACTCCGGTGCACGGGCGTGTATGTTTGCTCTCCCGATCTCGGCTGGGTGGTGGGCCGGGAAAGTGATGGATATGTGCGAGCGTGTGCAATTTGTTGCCGGGCTTAGCAGCACCTTGGGGACGAGGGGTGGCGGCACGGTGATGGACCGTGTGTGTGTGCACGGGCATCCAGGCACTGGGATACCTTATCTAAGTCAGATTTTGTGTCGCTCCAGACGCGGGGGGGGGGAGAGAGGGATTGCTCGGTTTCTCTCCCCCATTCCTCATCCCATGGAAATGTATTCCTCCTCACATTTCTTGAAATGATCAATCTGAATACGTTAGCGGCGTAATCTGCATTCCTAAATGTTCCAGTTCTTTGTTTTGAGGGGAAAGCAGAGAGCCTGTTGAAAAGCTGCAAACTTCCAAACATTTTTACCTGAGAGGAAATGCGTGTATCTCCGAGTTAGCCTGAAATGGAACTGAGGTGCTGGCTGAGGCAGAGATGAAAATGATCCGGTCCTGAGCTTCGGTTCATTGTCGGATAAATAGCAAAACACTGTTGCTGAAACGATGTGCATTTCCCATTAGTCACGATACACACCACTAAAGTGAATGTTTGGATAATAAGCATCATTCTTATTATAGGATTCAGCCCACAGCCTCACTCTTCTCTGATTATCAGCTTCCACTGAACAGAGGGTGAAATGATCAAGATAGTGTTCTTTTCATGGTTTTTAACCTGCGCATTGGCGTTGACTGAGCCAAGAAAAGCAAATTAAACCAAACGAGAGCTAATCATTACTAACCGAACGTTTATTCTTACCCGTGTCCACTTTATCTTCTCTTCCATTCCTCCACAGAGTTGTCTTGGTGCTCTTTCCCACCTCTGCCATGGTTTTTTAAAATTCCTTTTTCGAAATGTTCAGAAAACCTTAAGCCTCCTTCACATATGGGGGGGGGGGGCTGACACACCAAAGCCTTTGCGGAACGTGCCATTTTATGCATCTGTGCCGCCATTACTCACCTGGCTCTACTAACACCACCCCGATGTGTGTGAGGACACGGTGATGCGGGGCTGATGTCTCATCTGTGTGAAAGATGTGGAGGAATAGCGGCGGATAAAGGGGATCCATCTTTCTTTTGGCTTATAAGGTGTGACTGACATGTGATGGAGGCTGTTGTCTGTCACGATACGTTACACGTTTCATATTTGACTTGTTACAGCGGGAGCCTGTTGTTTTGGTGACGTCATTGTTGTGGCAGGGTACCAAAAGGAAACATAGTATCTCAGGCCAATAAATGTGTCTGAATTTGTTCTATTTGTTCCACTTTTTAATGGCACTCCATGGTGCTGACGATTCAAAACTGTGTGTTTTTTCCTCTGTTTTTCCTCAGTCAGGTGACGGTACCCTCTGTGATCATACTCAACACGTCCAACGAGCAGTACTTCCTGCCCAGTGAGCCGATTGAGAGCATGGAGCAGCTGGTCCAATTCATCAGCGGTGTTTTGAACGGTTCTGCACAGGTCAAAAATCCCCCCCCCCCGCCCATCCCTCCCTCCCCCGTCTCCCCTCCCCACCTTCTATTTGTGCACTCAGCGTATTGCAGCCCTTTTGCCCTCTTCCCCTTGTTTTGCACCCCTGTAATCACACCACTAGTTTTCATTAATCAGACATTTTGCCTTGCATCGCAAGCTGTCCTCAGAAAATCACACCAAAAGAGATATTTTTGCAATCTCCTTTTACATGTTTAGAATTTGTTTCGCTGACCTATTTTAAAAGCTTATCTACAAGCATTCGCGGTCTTTCCAGTCAAACATTGAGATTACCAAACATGCTGTTGTGTGCATGATAATCTGGAAAAGAAATGTCTTTTCTTTAGTAGACTGAAGCCACCAGATGTATGAAACCATAAGTAAAACAGCCAGTGGTCCTGTCCTTTTTTTTTTTTTTCTTCTTCTTCCAAGAAACGCCTGGGCTATTTTTTGCTGGTAAAACAAACCACCTCCCACGAAATAAGCAGCAGCAGAAACCTCCAGATTTTTGCCGTCCAGTTCCTGCCAAAGCTTGGACACTTTCAACCTTTTTCACGTCACGGTGGTAATGTCTACCACAAGGTTTCTCAGGGCTCCTTTGTGCCTCATGTTTAAGGACAGAGCACAATTCTGGTTGCAAAAATTGTAACAATAGTTTTTTTTTCTTCTATTTGTTTAATTTTGTGAAGCTTGAGCCAATCATAAAAAGGCAGAGAGTTAAAGTTACTTGCTACTGTTAGTAAACCTCGTTCCAACTTTAGCTTTTAAATACTCCATATAGTTCCTCCTACCACCAAGGGAAAAAAACAACTCAAACAACACGTTATAAAAGTGGTTGTAAAAGCTGCTAATACCAGTCATGGCGCCCTCATCCTGTAGAAACTCGGTGTGTAACAGCTGTTTCCACAAAGTCCACTAATTCTCTCATGCCCACCATCAAGCTCCCTCACAGGAGCCCCGATCAGGCGGCTCGCACTAATTGGACATCCTGATGAATTAGCCTGAGGACTCATCACTCATTGGCTGCACAGGTGCCTTTGCCAACAAATGAGCTCAGATGGAGCAGAGCTGCTGGACAGTAAACAAACTGGAGCCAGACACATTAGGTCATTTTTAGCAGGGAAGCAGTAAATTCAGACTTCTTAATTCCAAAAAAAAGTTCTCAGACTGTGTAAAAGTGCACGTTTCTGCTTGTGAACCGTTCGAGTTGTTCATTGTTTTTTTGTTTTTTTGTCTCTTATGAACTGCACAAATTGCCGATGCCTAATGTGGAGAGTATAAAAATTGGGAGGTTGTGGCTTTTCATTAATTCGTGTCTTTCTGCAGGCATATGGAGGAGACGGCATCTTTCAGAGGATCAAACGCGTGGCCTTTGAGGCCAGGTCCACCATTATGGTAAGTCGATGGGAGTTCAGTCCAGCCCGCTAGACGACGACATGACATTTTGCAAACTGATGGTGGCTGACAATTTAAGTGCTTTTAATGCCGAAAATGAAAGCAAAAGGAACATGCTGGGTTTGATTTAAGCCTTTTCACAAGAAAGAATGAGAAAAGGGTTGAAATGAGACAGGTTATTGGCAGTCACTTTCGCAAAGGTCAGAACTACTCTACTCACGTAGTTATGCCTTTCTGTGCACCATGCATCTTAACTTAACCCCCCCCCCCAACTTGCAATGCACAGGACTTCCAGTCTGTGCCTTTTTTCATTTAAGTTCAAATTGGAATTTAACTTAGATTTCCTCTGCTGAGGCACATTTGAAGTGAATGTCTCTTCTGACCTCCGTAACTGTAGCTCACGGTCCCTCTGGACACCGAATGACCAGTTCTACAGACTAATGCTTTTGCAGATATCTTCATTTTATGTCTCGCTTTGTCTGTGTCCGTTAGAACAGAGTTAATGTCGTGCAACATTCAACTTGCTAGAGGTTCTGTACCAGCTACAGCAAATGCCCAAGTGCCCTGCACTCTCCCTCCCGGAGAAGATCGGCATTTAGGGGACAAGACCGGACTTACAGCTGAGAATATGCAATGAAGGCAGTAAACACAGCATGGGGAAAAGAAAACAAGCAACAGAGCGGGAGGAGGTGGAGTGAGGAGGGATCCGAGCGGAGGGTCAGGCTCCTGCTCCCGCTTTTGCCCTAAGTGGCTGGTTCCTTTGGTAGAAGTAGTGTTTATTTTACCATGGGTGTGATAGGAATGTAAATACAGCTGCGTTACAATGCTTTTCAGTCGGTACGCTTGTATTGTAACTGTGGTCTTAGCTCTGCCATTACCTGTTTCAGTGCCCTGGAAAAATGTGGAGAGCTACTAGTGGAAAATGATACATTTTCATACAAAAAAAAACGACCTCTGACATGTAATGTAAAATTACACAGAGATGCACGTCTATTTTAATCTTAGGATGTCAGGGCAAGTTAGGTTTAAAATCTGAAGAATCGCTACTGGAAGGGGTGAAGGTTTTTGTAGAAAAGATATTTTCTTATGTGGGAGCATAACGCGCAGGGATTTTTCTTGTTCTTTATTAGCAGCTGCACAATTGGAACCATCCATGTGAGAAGGGTTTTGAGTTACACTTGTGAAAGAATGGAAACTTGACTCGCTGACGCTCACCTAAATTAGCAAGCCGCCAGCATCGCGCTGACCGGCGTTGCCCGTGGTGACATGATATGATAGAATAGGACCAGGCAACGACCATAACCTTGCCCCTGAAGAGCTTATCTAAATGCATGTCTGACAGGAGCATTAGGATGCAACAGCATTAGGCCCAGTGAGTCACAGCCAGCCGCATTCGCATTGGAGACCCATCCTTACCTCATATAACATCACAGAGCCCCAGTAATTACCATCCCTCTTCCACCAGCAACGACTGGAGGGAACTCGAGTATTTCTCTTCGTCTCTACTCAGCGGCTGATAGAAGCTGTGACCAAATTCTCCCTCTGAGGTACTTTTCCTCTGATGTATCTTCCTATATTAATGCCAAATGGGACATTTGTCACCCAGATGATTTTAAAGGGACTTGCAAAGCTGTCTTTCAGTTGATGGGTGCGTTGTTGTTTCCACAGAAGATGAGGGATTGTGCATTTCACAGGAGCGGTGTGGAAAACATTGAACAAATGTAGAAGAGTAAAGAATATGAACCAAAAATCTTTTAATTATACATATGGAGAATGTCTTAAGAGGAACTTGGTGGTACGCTGTTATGAAAAGCGAGAAATTTAACTTGATAAGAAAAATCTGCATATTATTTTACACAAATTGTGCACCCAGCATCTTCTGTGGAGACAAAAGACTTGCACCCTGTGGCAAACTGTATAAACCCTCTCTGCGTACACCTGCATAGTGTACGCAGGCATGTCCTGTGGACGGTTGGGCTGTGGGCCTATGGGAGGGAGCTTCAAACAGACCAGCATACATCGGTGGCCCTTTGCTCCCGTTTGAAGGTGGAGATTTATTTATCGATTCCTGATCAAACTGTACTCTTGGAAAAACCACAGGCGCCCCGAGAGATTGCAGATAATGGGGTAAAACTCAATTATGGTCATCTGTGTAACAGAAAACAAACTGCACAGGGAAAGGTACAAATAGTCCAACAAACTAAAAACATCCCAAACAAAGACATGGCAGAATAGTTATTAATGCAGACACATTAAAGCCTGTGTGGCTGTCTGTAACAAAGCGTGCTGTTTCACTGCAAATGAGGGAATAAATAAATGTAATATCACGTATCGCGTTATGATGCATCAACAGGTAAATCCCGATCTACAAACACTGGCCGCAAAGAGAAGGGCAGTCCATTTATAATACAGTGACTCACTCCAGAACAGCTCTACTATCCTGAACAGATCAATTATTTGTGTTTTTTGTCTTTGTTTTGTTTGTTTGTTCAAAGATGTGTGAGGTTGGGTAATGAGGGCACGGCTAGGTTGGACCATGAGGAGATAAAAGTGAGCTTTGGGGGCCCCATTGACCCCTATTTCCTCTGTGTCTAATGATGTGTGCATGCATCCTGTTTCCTCTTAAGTACCTATCATGACCAGTACACATGTCAGACTGCATAGCAGCTTCATTATATTTCGCCCAGAGGTCCACACACAAACCAGTTAGAGGCAGGTTGGAGTAGACAGATAATCAGGCAAAGCTGACGTTTTGTTTTTCTGCTATTGATTCATCCTGACATTGTGTTCATGTTGGCTGATTGTTTTGTCCTCAGCAGCCTCTGGAGAGTAACCATAGACTGGACGTGGCCACCATAATATTGCTCATTGATTTGCAGGCTAACATTAGGAGGCTCCAGCTTTGCTATCACGCTGTTGCGAACTTCCTGTGCTCAGGCTTTCTATGTGGTGCCCAAGGGCCTCACCTGTCAATCAGCAGATTTTCCTAAGTATGCATAACTCAAATAAGGTATGGTGCACAGCCTGCGTAGTTGGTGCCATAACGCCCAGTGTCTGACCAAACAAAGACTTCTTTAGTTTATACCTCACTCGCAATAGGACGAGGCAGTTAATGGCAGTTAGATGATGTCTACATGTGGTACAGTTGTACCATTTAGTTGTACCAAGATCTTTCAAAATAAAATGCTTCATAATTACTCAAAGTACAGTGAAATGTAGAAATATTTCTCCTTCATTTGGCCTTTAAACTTCAAACGGCTACCCATACGCTTTGAAGGGTGAAATCGACTTAACATATCAGTGCGTTTGTACTTGAGTTGTATGTAGCATTGGGTACTTGTATGTGTAAAACATCATTAGTAGACCATTAAAAAACATCTTATCCATTACCTCTGGTACTTGCAGATTCAAAAAGCCACATGAGGACGAAGGGCCTGATACAGTTTAAATGATTTCAGCTGCTTGAAAAAGTTAACCAATTGAAGTAATTCTTAGATATTTTGGGTATAGATGCCGTAACTAAAAGAGAAGCTTTAAGAAGAAGCTTTAACGAGCAAAGAGCATCTTAGTGTCTTATTTCTTGTAACCCCCGTGTACACACAACGTTCTATTGTGTCTGGAAGTTTAATTACACACCAGTGGGTTCTGTTAAAGAGCAAATTTACCGTAAACTGAGTCCACTCTGAGATCTCGGACCCCCCTGGACAGTGTCCTGGTTCCTCTGTATAACTCAGGCTTAATCAGGAAGATGGAAGAACAAGGTTTAGGCCAGAGGTTTTGAATGAATGTTAATATATGCCGAGGATTAATGGTTTTTATCTCTGCGTGTGTGCGAGTGCACACACTGGTGTAAAGATCACACGTCTGTAGGATAGTAGAGATAGTAGTCTCTTTAGTCCTTTCTTGCCGTCGCTTTTCTTTTCATCATGTCTGTTGTCTGCGTGCATCTTTCTCGAACCTTCACCCGCTCTTCCTCAATAATTTTTTCGTTTGCCTCTCCTCTCCTTTCCCACATCAGTCGGTGTTTCGCAGCTCTCCACTGCTGGGCTGCTTCCTGTTCGGCCTACCGCTGGGCGTAATTAGCCTGATGTGCTACGGCATCTGCACCGCCGAGTCGGATGACGGCTCGGAAGACATGGACGCGCTCAAGAGGGAGGGCCTCACCGACGAGGAGGAGGAGGAGGAGGACGAGGAGGAGGAGAGGCAGCACACCGCTGCGGTTGAAGGCCCAGAAGAAGAAGAAGAAGAAGAAGAGGAGGAGGAGGAGCAGGAGGAGGAGGAAGATGCTGGAGAGAAAGATCCCGAAGAGAAGAAAACTGATTAACACAGGGGCGCCTGCAGGATAGAGGATGATAGGCCTAGTCAAATGCGGTGACATGAAACTCAAAGACACATCTGTGTAACAATGTTGTGCGTCTTTGCTTTTCATCTCGCTCTGCTTCAGAACTCCCTCAAGCACAGACTGTCGTCCCACCTTTTGAGTTCAGCGCATCAGGGTATAAGGTTGGCTGCTCGGCGAGGTCTCTGAATTCAAATTAACAGCCTTTTTTCCGTAACGGCGTACAAACGATACTCAGAAATAGAAGGGGACGTCTGTGAACCAAACATACCACCTTATTTATTCTGATTCTGAAATGTGACACGTTACACTTGCTCTCATGCTGAGTCACAGTCCTGTGAAACCATTTTTGAGGTAAACGCTCCTTTTACATCTTTTTCTTTTATATCCAAGAATATTGTTTTTTTTTTTTCTGATTTCCAGTTATATCCTACAGTAGTAGAGACAGATAAGATTAGCCTTTACAGCTCAATAGAAAATGACTGCTGAGGTCTTATGTTTACTGCCTCTTTTGAACCAAGCTGAGGGTACAGTTGTGCACAGTTACAAATGTTCAAAAATGCGCTTTTTCTTTTTTCTTTTGTATGTTATTGTCTTCTTGTTGCCCTTCAAAGTGCTCAGACGGTTGCGTTTCAACTTATTTTTCTGTCAGCCACCTGTCCGTTTGTATTGAAAGATGAGGAAGAGTGTAATTTGAATTTTGCATTCCCCTGTGATGCCAAACATGTCAAATAAATGTTTCTTTTTTTCCCCCCCTAAACCCACCAGGAATGACCCTCCTGCTCTAAATGTTTTGTATAGATGGGTTCTACCTGTCAAACAAAAGCCATAACATGCATCGATGGCTCCTGTTGGTCTTAACAACTCATATTCCTCACAGACAGGATGTGACTGTCAGATTCCACATTTCGTTCTGTCGTCCATCACCGGCTTTTTATATTATATTTGTTCACCTGACAGGTGGAGGTGTGCATCCCAGTGGAGGGGGTTGTACAAAGAAAATGAAGAATATTGGGATTTTTTTTTTTTTAACAATCCTTTATTGTCGAAACCTAAAAATATCTCTCCGATTTCTTTTTCTGTAGCTGAAATTTAGGTAAAAGCTTAAATCTTTCTTGTTTAATCCACTGTGCCAGACTGTCTGATTTTTGTTTTAAAAAAAAAAGCATATCTAGATTCATACTTTTAGATCTAAGATGAACTTGAAGGTCCTGAAAAGCATGTCATGAACCCGATAACTGTTGCCCAGGAATACTTGAAATTACGGCTTTGCCTATTTCAGAGAACATATGCTCCTCGCTAAGAGTCCGATGGGTATGCTGATCCAGTTCTGACATCTTTTTAGGACATTTGCAGCCAGGGTCGATAGCCTGTAAGCTAAACGATGAGGAAAGAGCCGCTGTTGCTCTGGCAGGAGGTGACAAAGTGTGTCCGGTGGCAGATTATTAGCTGACACAAACCACATGAAATTTTGATCCTGCTGTTTTTGCCGAAAAACTTGATGGAAGTGAGGCACATCAACAGAAGCACACCTGTTGTTCTGAAACCGATAGAGGTTATCTGTAATTACTACTGTGATGCCGCACTGCCCTCGCCTTGCCTTCCGCTCTTTGTAGTCGCCTGCCTTTCTCTGCCAAACTTCCTCTTTTGATTTTAATTGAGAATCTGAATCGTCACACTTTATTACAGGTTACAAATATTCAAATAAAGATTGTCCTCTTTTTTTTCTTGACTGGTGTTTTCTTTCCTCCCATTTCATTTCGACTTAATCTTATGTTTTTATGGACTAATAAAGCAAACGATTTACACCAGATTTGATCAGATTTTAGGTGTGCCCTTTTATTTATGGGATGTCTTTTAATGTGTGTGTCGATATTCCTCTATGATTCTAATATCATTATCAGATTTTTCAACTATTTGTGAACCAAATCAATGGGAACTAAATTTCTGACATCCTTGCCACTAAATTATTTTCTGACAATATTCAGAAATCTGGAAACTTTTCTTATCCAATACACTGGTGCATGTGTAAATGCAACGCTGGGCTTCCCGTGATGCCTTTGAAATGAGAATTTTCTGGGGCAAAATTGTTGTACAACATACATCATTTATAACAAGAAAAAAAAAGATTTGGCGCAAAACTTTTTAATTTATCTGGGTCTTCTTACATCAAAAGGGAGTCACGAATATTCATACGGACTCATAGATTATTGATTCTGTTTTACTTAAATAATTCCAACAAGCCATCAGTTATCAAGACATGTTGACATCCTGTTAGTTATTTTTATTGACTGGTGTCTGTGGAATAACATGTAAAAAAATCTTTTGACACCACTGTCTAAAACAAAGGAAAACGCTATGAGAATCAGATTAAATATGACTAGAATATCTTTTGAAGCCTTTATACCCAGAACATGGCTTCACCACCTCAACCCTTCCTTTAAAACTATGAATATCGTACCATCAAACGCTACTCTAAATTCATTCTCAAATGTTCCTATTTTATAATTTAACTGTAACTCAGTCGTTATCTTGTGGGGTTTGAATTAATTAGACTCAGGTAGTTAAAATTCAGCACTAAAGAAGAATATTTTAAGCCTGTAGATGATAGACTGATTTCTGAATTGAGGAGTTTTATACGTAGGTGACACAACAGTGGAATGTTTGATATGAATAAAGGGAAGGCATAAAGACATTTTTTTAGGGATTATTTAGCTGTTGGTAGATCTGAATACAAACCAGCTCGGAACTTTTAATTCTTAACTTGAAACTGAGCAAAACGGTTCCAACAGGTCCTCATCCAAATCACACCTCAAAACAGGTTTTTATATGCATTGTATATATTTGTATGTATATATATATATATATCTGTATAAATACAAGATATAATATTACAACTGGTCCATTTGATTTTCTGAACTACAATAAATCTAAAAGATGTTGAAAAAAAAATTCAGGTCCAATACGAAAATGATCAAGTGGAAGGGAACAAATTCTATTATTTAAAAAAAAAAATCTTCCAAATTGCCAAACTGTCTTCCATTTATACTTTTATCTCTCCATTAAACTTCAATTATGACCCACACATGTATTTTTTTCTCCGCCAGGATGGTACCATGCAGGGGTGCCTACTCAATTATGGCAGACGCAATCATATTTTTGGAGAATTAGGTTTTAGGTTGGCTGATTCTATTCCTAATGTGAAACTCATTTATTCCCTATCTTTAGGGAACGGCAGCAATCACGAGCCAAATTCAGAGACGTGACTTAACATAATGAAAAACAACCATGTCACAGCACACTCTCTGAAGTCTTGACTCCCCTACTGCACAGTTTGTTGCTTCCGGAAAGTTGGTGTGGTTGTTTTCAGGTCTGATAAAGCAGAAGAACGTTCATTTTCCACTCCATGTCGCTCTGCGGATAAATTGCCACATAGGGGGACATAATATATTACTACCACAGAATCAGTGTCACTGAGTGCTGGTGCAAAAAAGTAATCCATCGCTCAATTACCTCGCTATATATTCTGAGAACGAGTTTCATCAAGAGGCAGATGAGGGGGCCTGCTGTCTCTTTTCTTTCCGAATACCAAAAAGTTGCACACTAAAAGCGCACTAGACAAGGGCAATTACACTCTGCTGCTTGTTTTAGAGTCTGTCTCTTGTACAAATGTCAAATTAAGGCACGATTTGGTAATATAGTATTTTTCTTTAATCACATGGGAGGTGTTTCATGCTTTGCCGTAAGGTCGAAGATATGCTCGGTTTCAGTTCAACAAGATGAGCTACGGCCGATTTGCTGGAAACCAGCTCACACCAGTTCTGTGTGAGGTCTCACACATCCTGCTGGAAAGCCAGTGTTTTTTTGTTTTTTTTTGCATTACGGCTGATGGATGACCGCGGCCGCCAAAGTCCATCTGTTTGCTGCCATTTTAAGAAACCTAGATGCCTAATTACACACACACAATGCTGGCAAATCACCCCTTTTTTTCAGACATTACCTCCCCTCAATAAATAGTCCTCCTGTCCGTGTTTGCTTCTGTCATTAGTCACCGAATCATTTCTCGTGACCCCGTCAGACTATTTTTAGTGAAGCGACTTCACCTGGGCTCCTCCACTCGGCGTAATAGCAGCCTGTCAGCTTGTCAGTCTGTAGACGGTGCTTGTTGATGTTGTTTTCCAACAAACAGCCCGACATTTCAGCAAAGCTTTTTTTTTCTCTCCTTTGCGGCGGGAAACTGACTGAGAGGCCGAGACGGTTGCTGCCCATCCACGCCGTTAAAAACGCCTCTCTGAATCGGAAATCGCGGCACCTGCAGAAGACAATAATTGTGGGTAGTAAAATATAAAAAGCAACACCACGTCAATATCACAAATACTCGCTGTTTCGGAAAGTCGTGGACTAAAATCCGACCAGTTCTGACGGAATCGACTGCACACGATTCCAATCAAGCCCAGCTGCTTTTGTCTGACTGTAGGAAAAGATCTTAATGGCTTTTGTGGAATGGCTGAGCAAATAAAAGAGGTTTCAGTTTTGCTCAACTGGCCAGCTTTTAGTAGGAATAAAAAAAATCAAAATAACATTGCGTTTAGAATATTGGTCCATAGAAAAATTGGGAATCAGCCATCGACAGTTACATAATGTGTCGTTATTAGGTTTCCAGGCATTATATCTCACTGGGAGTGCTTCAGAAGCAGACAGTTTGGTCTGCCCAGCTGTTTAAGGCGCATTTAGTTGTTGAGAAATTCCGAGACATGTGCGATAAAGTCTCATATTTCAGTCTCTTACCTTTTTACTCTCCTAACTCCTGCAGTTAATTTCCAAGCCTCATCCTTTCTGGGATTGTCCTTTATGGTTTGGACCTGTGGTGTCATAAACACCTTATATTTATCACCTGCTGAGGCGCATTTATTTTCTGGTGCCGTTAATTATGTTGATGTAGTGGTGTAAAATATGAATGTGAGTCTGTAAAAGTTTTATCTCGA